GCTGAGACGCAACACGTTCTGAGCATGCACTATAAGTCAGCGGTCATCACCAGTTGACTCATGCATGGGTTCCTGTAGTATGTGCTCCGATGTAGGCGGCCTGCGGGATTGGTCTGTGAATAGTTGCCTACGGTGATCTTCTACAGGACACGTTCATCTTTGTTGGAAGCCGGTGACATAAAGTTCTGGCAAGGAATTAAAATCTTCACCGTTGGCATTCTCCTGTTGGCTGAGTGAGCCCTGTTGATGATGTTTGTTGATGATCCTGTTGATTTCACCCTCTCCGTGATCCCAGTTATAGTTGTTGTAGAGCAGATGAATTCTGGTGAGCTCTTGATGGTGCACTGCCCAGATTACCCACGTTTCCAACGCCCGATGGACGTATGCGCCGACACCACCCCTCTGGTAGAGTTCCGGGCGCTCGCTCCGCCCACGAAAGCATTGGTCCTTGGCCGTCGGCTTCTTGTGAACTCGAGTCACCAGAGAGGGGAGGGGGCGGGGGGTGTCACCAGAGAGGGGTGCTTCTGCTCCACGTTAACAGGCTACTTCGCATACCGTATGTGATATAATAACATGATGTACAGTGATATGGGATGAAATATGACATTTAATGTTCATTTAATGAGACATATGACATTTAATAAGATATATGCAACATAAGAGGCCATGTGCTCCCACCCAACAGTGCGCCTAGCGACGCACTTACCGTGTATGGCGCGGAATAAACTGTATTATTATTATTATTATTATCATTATTATCATTGTGCGTCAGACCCGTCACACACGCCAACCCAACACAAACACCAACCGTCAACCCACTCGCCACCCCACACAGAAGCGGAGGCCTATGCCATGGGAGCCGTCTGCATCCACGAGTGCCGCCTCCCATCAACGAACAAACAAACGCGCGTTGGAAGCGGAGGCCTATGCCATGGGAGCCGTCTGCATCCACGAGTGCCGCCTCCCATCAACGAACAAACAAACGCGCGTTAGAAGCTCCACCTGCGCGAGGGCCACCATTAGGGCGCCGAGGACCGAGCGCCCGCATGTTGTCGCCTGTCACCGACGGCTGGTGCTACGCGTCAGGGATTAGCGCATGCGACCTGCGAGGGCTGATATTTGTATTTGTATTTACATTTGTATTTGAATATATCTGTATTTATACATAAAATATACATCATACATATATGAATACATATACACATACATATTCATTATATATACATATACGTACATCTATATATATATGCATATATATATATATATATATATATATATATATATATATATATATATATATATATATGCAATAAATGGGAAGTTTGGTCACATCCTGGCCCTGGATACTTGGCTGAGTGGTTATCTAGAGCGTGGCCAATGGAGTCCGGTAGGGCAACACGAGCCGGCAGAACGGCATAATAACCGCGAGACCAGTGATACCACCACGCGCTACGGTGAGCCAGGTGGCCGTCACGTCCACAGCAGTGTCCGACCTCGGTCGCGTGGTCCCTGATCCCGTCAAAGGCATCGTACGATCCTCTTAGCTCGCTGGGTTTTAGTTTGGTCGTTGTGTGCACGCACAGTCGGTGCCGTGGTTGGCGGCGGGCCTCTGTTAACCTCGAGTGAAACCCACTAGGCCCGTGGATTGCTCCGACATATGTGAACATGGGAGCAGGATAAGGAGGGCTTACGGTGACGCGCGCTTTCCGCGCCCAATGCATATTTTTGTCCCGCGGCCTAAAACCTCGGCGACGTCACTGTGGCCATATCGGGATTAAAAATACCCGTAGCATGCTTAATCATGCTTTAGCTGGTCCCACTTTTGAGCACTGGAAGTCGTCCAGCTGAATACCTGGTCGGGTCACGTGACTGCCTGCTTGCGCTGCTGACCGTCATGACGGCTGGCAATGGCTCTATTTCCCGGGCCCCAGACTCTGGCCACCTGTCGTCGCTGAGTGGCAAATGGCCGCTGGCAATGAATAACTAATGCTCGAGCCCCGACTCGGCCGCCGACCGCTGTAGTCCGGACAGCGGACACCTGCTGACCGCATGCCGCCACCTCTGTGCGACATCTGCAGAACCGCGACGACTTCCACTTGATTATCGACGGGGTCATTGACTGTGTCGATCGGTGATCGACGGACGCCCCCCCCCCCCCCCCGTGCACGGACGTGGCCTGTCCGCACGCGGCTCGTTTCATGCATCGCATGCGGAGCGAATCGCGGCAGCCTCGCGCTCGCCGGCAGCCAATCAGAGCCGGCGCGCGGGCCTGTGCACCAAGTGCGCAGGTGACGTTTCCATGCCTTCTTTCATGTGCCGTCTCGCGAGGGTGGTCGCATCTCCAAATCTCGGCGGGGCAGAGACAGGCTCCGCTCACCGGTCGAGCTGCCGAAGAGAAGAGATGCCTCTGCTCTTCCCCGTCTGAGGCGGGGAGGTCATGTACTGGCGCCTGACCGTTTCAGTTGGGTCATCTCTAGACTTGCCGGTATGTCCTGGACGCCCGCTCAGGCTGTCGTGTTTGCGACACCTTGGGAGACCTCGGTGCGACCAGCCCCAGAACCGAACTGCTGTCGTTCCTACGCACTTGGCTCCACCAATGTTTGGGAGATGCATGCCATGATGAAGCAAATGGCGACCTTTGAATATTGACTTCATTCTACACGTTTGATGTTGTCATAATTAAGCTGTAGCCCGCAATAGGCCCGCGAGTTTTGTAAGAGTTGTTAACTCGTCCAGTTTGAGGTCTGCTCGGATTTCGTGGCTGTCTGGACGCCCTGCTGACCATCGTGATAACCGCCAATAGCTGCATTTTCCTGCCCCCAGGCTCTGGCCACCTGGCGTCGGTGAGCGGCAAATGGATGGATGAACTCGACTTTAATTGACGGAGTGCGATGAATGATCAGACAGTGCTAACGTCACGTGTCCACACTAACGATAAAAACGCTATCCACATGTTTGCACCAGTGTTTTATTTTATTCTCTTTTTATTTTATTTATTTGTGAATTGGGAACTAAAACACTAGTGTTTTAATTTCCGATTCACCTACACGCTGCGATCATTCCGGCCGCTGCGCCTTCTTGTTCCAAGATAATTCGATCATGATTTTATAGGCTGAGATGTTGAGCATTATGTTTAATAAAATCAGTCCGAACGTATCTGAATATTGTCCAGATGGGCCACATAATGTAGTCTGCACGCTATTCGTTTCATTTCAGTTCAGCGCAAGAAATATATATATATATATATATATATATATATATAATACGATATAATAATAATAATATAAAAAAGACGACAAGACTGCACAATGCGCGTGGATGATTGGCAGGACTTTCATTATCTAAGCGAATGCCTATCACGGTTAATTGTGGTGAAAAGCGCCAGAGTTTGTATGTTGTTAAGTAAGCAACTACAACACGACGTCGCAGGGCGCAGTCGTGCTATGCAACACAGCCCAACGCCGGCTGCGGACGGATGGAGACTCAGCCGGTGCTGCGGCCGTCGGGCGCATGGCAATGCGAGGTATCACCTCTACTCACCTCTACTCTATCTATCCTACTCTATCTATCCTCGCGCACCTCTACTCTATCACCTCTACTCTGGGACGGACTGCGTGGTTTGGAATGGAGCATTCATTTTCATGGGGCTTTTATCGACTGTGGTGTCATCAAGTCTGTCTCGGTGGCACGCAGAAGGCAGACTATCAGGTGACGTCATAGATGGTGCTGCCTCTGCTCCGGGGATCGGCGGTTAACTATGACGTCATGAATCAATTCCCCTGAGTCGGCCTGCAACCGGGGCTGTCTCCTGTCGGAATCCTGGATCGATCTGTCGGGAGGCGGAGATTTCCCACCAGGAGTCAGGGGATCACCTGTCACCGTCGCAGGCCAGGAGCGATCTCCTGTCGGGAGCCTGGATCAACCTATCGGGAGACGGAGATTTCCTCACTGGCGTCAGAGGATCCCCGTCACTGTCGAGAGCCGGGATCGATCATCGGGAGTCAGAAGAGATATCCCCAGAGGGAGTCGGGAGATCCCCGTCACTGCCGCAGGCCAGGAGCGATCTCCCGTCGGGAGCCTGGATCAATCTATCGGGAGTCGGAAGAGACATCCCCAGAGGGAGTCAGAGGATCCCCGTCACTATCGCAGGCCAGGGGCGATCTCCGTCGGGAGCCGGTGGAGCGCCGGAGCCTCGCGGAGATGTCCTCAGCCTCGCGCCGGCGGCGGCTGACAGCGCCGACCGCACGAGCGCTCTTCAGTCGGCCGGCCGTCCGGTCAAGATGCACTCCAGGCCGGCCGTCTCATCTCCGCAGCCGCCGACCCGCGTCACGGTTCGGCTGAAAATGCCACCTCCGGTCTGGCGGCCGAGCCTGGCTCCCAATCAAACGGTCTGCGAATGTGCCCCCCGCGCCCAGAGCGCGCAGAAACACGCGCCGTCACGTTTACTCCCGTTGTATATTCGAGACCATTTCCTTATCATTTATACAATATACCCTGACAACGCACCAGTTCACACACTCACCGGCTTGCTCGCCGAAGTCGCAATGCGCCGCATACAAAATGCATCCAATGGTTCGCCCACCAACAAGCGGCGGGCGTTTCATGTGGAGTCAACAACGGCCGCGGTCTTTAGCTCCGAACATTTGCAACGCACAAGCACAAACACACATACACATGCACGCAAAGTCGTTCGCTCCTCTCGTTAACGAGAGGCTCGCAGCGCAGACGCGCACGCGCTGTCGGCTCTGTACAAACGGCGGCCAAGTCGCCGCCCAGCGCCCAGTCCGAACAACCATCGATTTACAGCGTTTTATTGCTCGCTTCTTATTGCATGATCGGAACAGCTCAATACCTAAACGTGAGGGGGCGATGAGTTCGCCGCCGGCGCCGTCGGCAGACCGCGGCGCGCGCGTTGGCCGCACGAACGCCGGGGGCCTGGGACCAATCAGCGGCGGCCGGCGCCGCTGCCACCCAGCTGACCCGCGACGCCGGCGGCCGAAAATGGCGAGCGGTGCGCGCCGCCCGGTCCCGCCGCGTCAGCGCGTGCCCCAGACGTCACGAACGCCGCGCGGGCCGCGCACGCGACAGGGCGGCTCGGAAAAACAACTCGGCCGCCGCCGTCGGGCGGCGCAGTCTGACAAACGCCCTCAGGTCAAAACAGAGGTAAACGGGGGTGGTGGAGTGGGGCAGGGCACACGCAGAACAACCAGCTTATCAGCACGTGAACAGCGAGCTGGTAATGTATAGCATGCTTCATTGCATCGATGGGAAGGCAATTCTATTGCCTTATCGTTATTGCCGCCCTTCTAGTCGCCGTCTGAAAATGCGTAAAAAAACCTGGCTAGTCTGCTACTGTCAACCTGTACTGTAGTTGTTCCTGCTCATGATAAAATAGACATTTCTGCTTTGTTATATACAGATAACGTCGAGTCTGTGAGGGCTAGAGCTAAAACAATTGACGTCCGATCGTCTTGCTAGAAGCGCTGGCTAGGAGCGCCCTCTAATTTGGACTGTCGAAACTAGGTAAAATCACAGACCACTGCCGGGTCGCAGCAATCGAAATCGTTTTGCCGGCCGACGCCGCGCGTGCGGAGCCGGCCCCAGAGGTGCGCCCAGCTGTCCCACCAACAGGAGTATTGGGCGGGTCGGGGCGCCGCCCGACGCCACCAGAGACCCGACAGCAGGGGAGTGGGCCACCCTCCAGGAATGGCCACCACCGTGTCTTTCAGTCGGCACACCGGAGCCGGAGCCGGAGCCGGGGCCGGGGCGGCGGCAGCGTGCCAGGCGCACCCGGCTCCCGCCTTAGCCTAGGAGTACACCGGACACTTAAATACACACGCCGGGGCGCGACGTGTGACGTCACGTCGGCCGGCATGACGTCAGCGGCTCACACCGATCCTATGTACAGGGGCGCGGGACGCCGGCGGCGAGCCGCCCGCCCGGCCGGCCTCGCTCGCTCTCGCCGGCGGTGGCGCGGCTGCGGCGCACCCACGCGCACAGGGACTCGGGCTGGCTGCTGTGGCGGTCGGCAGAAGCGAGACGGGAGAACACAAAGCCTAGGCTACTTTGTGAAAGACTTAAAATACTTTCCAGTTGTCGGCCCGCCGGCAGGCTCCCGCCGAGCAGCACAAATTAAGTACATCGTTAAGTAAAAAAGACAAAGTTAAGTACAGTCGAAACTACAGCGAGCGCTGGCCAACGCACAAAACACAATCCACATCCACGAGACAGCCTGATTGCCGGTCCTGATTTGCCACCTCCACTTCGCGCCGTCTCTAAATAATTTACTGCAAAGCCACAGGCAGGCAGCTCACGCACACGGCTCGCTCGCCTTCGTCCACTGCGCCGCTATGTACAGCCGGTACCGGAGCCTGCTGAGCGGCGGCCAGGGGGCGCCGCCGCGGCCCCGCCTACGTCTAACAGGACCGCGCGTATGTACAACACGTCACATACACGCTCGGTCGCCTCTCCGGCGCACGCCGGCCAACAGAGGGTGGGTGGGGGTGGGGAGTGGGACAGGTGGGGGAGGTTCCTCGGCGACGGGGCGGCGAGGTGCTGCTGCGGGCCCGGGCGGTGGTGCGGCCCCGACGGCTGCGCGCTGCGCACGAGTCGGGTTCCGCCGCCCTCGCTCGTTCGCTCCACTTCGCGCGCGCTCTCGCTCTCTCGGTCTCTTCCGTTTCTATCTAGCGACGACTCTGAAACGGAGCGGGCGCCGTTAGAAGACAGCTGAGGCAGCAGGACGCGGCGCGGGCGGACGGGGCGGCGTCGACCACGCTCGCTCAAACGCGCCGTCGCCGCTCTGCGCTCGCCGCCGCGACGTGACCCGCCCGCAGAGGTTTGGCGGGCCGGCGCCGAGCCGGTGCGGGGAGGGCGACACCGGCGTCGCCGGCCCGGCCGCCACCTCATAAACAGCCCGCCCTGTCCGGGCCGGGCGGCGGCGACAGTTGGCGTCGAGCACCTCTTGAAAATAGAGCCGCGTAATTGAATCCGAGCAGATAATTCGGGCCTTGTCGTGAACTATGTGACGGCGGCGCAGCGCCTGCGGCTAACGGCGCCGAGGCCGACAATCGGCCGCCGCCAGACAGCAGCGGCGGCCGGCACAAGTTAGTGGCGACTTGAGGACCGGGGGCGCGAGTGACGTCTCGCCCGCTCGTCCGACACAGCTGCGTCCCTGCCAGCGGCACCGGACCGTGCGTTGCCCAGTCCGCCGACAGAGGGCGCGGCCGTTCCACGGCGTGCGAAGTGAACGCTTAAATGGGTCTCTACGCGATGCACATTTAAACGGCGTAGAACGAGGTTCGCTTTGACGGTAATCGTGAGATCCTGACATGACCCGACTGTAGACTGTTTGGTATCCGTTCCCTATCGCAGCACACGGCTAATGAGCTGATTCGGAAGGCCGTGCCGTTGCGACAGCACGCAGAAAATTAGGTCGGCGAGAGTTGACACACGCACCGGTACCAATCCGCATAGTACAGTCCAGCTCATAAGCGGACGGATAATTTTCCACGCAAAATGCGACCCGACTCATCATCGGCCACGTTCAGCCCAGAACTAGGGCATCATCGCGTTGTGCTACCCGACCATGAACACCTGCTGACGCACTGCGACACCGTGGAAGCCGACTACTGCATTTTTTTGCCACAGCAAGCTGACAGAACCAGTTTCAGGTGGGCGTCTTATCACTCATCATTGACGCACCGCACCACGGGCCGAGCGCTAGAGCCTGCCGGCACGTTTTGCCCGCCACAGGCGTCCTGAGCCGCCCACTCACCGGTAGCTGTCTACGCGTCTAGTGGTAACCGTTGAAGGCAGCCAGCAGCGGAGCCTGCAAGGAGAGCGGCATCAGCACGGACACGCCGACTGCTGGGCGCAGTCGCGACTCGCACCCCGGCACCATCGGCGCCCTCCGAACGGGACCGGGAGCGGGACGGGCGGCGACACCACCGGCGCCCCCCGAACGGGACCCGGGGCGGGACGGGCGGCGGCATCCCCCCCCCCCCGAGAGGCTCGGAGGCTCAGAGCCCCGCGCTCAGAGCTCCGACAGGAGCCGGAGCTCGGTGTCGCAAGTCCGCCCGCTGATCAGACCGGATCGTCGGACACTGCACAGCATCCGCCGCGCTGCACGCGCAGCAGCGCTCTCGCCGTCAGATTTCACGTGGAATTTAGACACGGTGAAATACCACTCATGAATTTTTGGGCTTGTTCTGTATGTAAGGCGCCGCACCGCGAGGCCATATCATGGCGATCCGTCTTGCGAAAGCAGTTACGCGATTAAAAGAATAACACACCGCTTGAATCCAACGTTTTACGGCCTGGGAGATCACGCAGCAAACTAGTATTGTGAGGTTTAAACTCAGAAAAACGTGGCCATCGTGAAACACATTGCAGGTTCCAACCGTTACAAAACGTCTTCGGGTCACGCAGCAAGTCCGCCACCAACGCAATGACGAGAGTCTTAACATTAAGCCCCGCCTCAGCCTCCCACAGCATCCATCAGCCTCGCCTCAGCTTCCCACAACATCCTTCAGCACCGCCTCAGCCTCCCACAGCATCCATCAGCCCCACCTTAGCCTCCCACAGCATCCTCCAGCCCCGCCTCAGCCTCCCACAGCATTCTCCAGACCCGCCTCAGCCTCCCACGGCATCCTTCAGACCCGCCTCAGCCTCCCACAGCATCCTTCAGACCCGCCTCAGCCTCCCACAGCATCCATCAGCCCCCACCGCATAGTAAGGTGGAGACGTGGAAGGGAAGCAGGGGGGGGGGGGGGGCACGCACCCGGTTCAGAGCGCCGAAGGAGGGCTGCGGCGAGGCAGCCTGCAAGTAGCTGATACCAGCATCGCCGTTGTAGAGGTCCAGCGGGCCGGGGCTGTTGGCTGGTCCGAAGCCGCGGCTGTTGGCGGGGCTGGCAGGCGGGCCGTAGCCCGGGTAGCTGTTGATCACTGCCGGCACACACAGGTCACGGGTCAGCACGGAGGGGGGGGGGATGGTCGCGGGCCGGTGGCGGGGCTGGCAGGCGGACCGTAGCCCGGATAGCTGTTGATCACTGCCGGCACACACAGGTTACGGACCAGCACGGAGGGGGGGGGGGGGGGGACGCCGCGGCTGGTGGCGAGGCTGGCAGGCGGGCCGTAGCCCGGGTAGCGGTTGATCACTACCGGCACACACAGGTCACGGGTCAGCACGGGGGGGGGGGGGGGATGCCGCGCAACAAGACAGGGAGAGCAGCATCGCGGAGGCGCAGGGAGCTATCATAAAAATGAGACAACAATCTTCTTTTGACAATCTCCCATAAACACCCAAGCACTTCAAATTGGATCGGTTCTGTATTCCGCTACATTTCGATTGCTAGGTGTCCTCGACAGACCGGCAGATCAAATCAGATCCATATATGCACGGCATATTTATATGTTCCCAGACGCCAGTGGTCCCACTGACTTTTATTTCAACTCTGTGCTGCCTGACCCTGATGGGAACAGGACTTGTTCTTTTTAAGGTTCGGGCATGACAGAACGGTCATAGCAGGCTAGCATCTGATCGGATAACAAAACACAAAAACATTGCATTTTCAACTCGGACATTTTAATATTACGCCGACACTGCTGCGTATCCGGAGACGGAGAGATATGAAATATTGTTATAGATTTCATGCCTACCATAGACGCTGACACGCGACGCGACTGAAAGCCTGAAAGAACGAAACTGAAACCCCCTTCCTTGACCTACGTCCATACTTCGAAGGCAGAACATCGTGAACGTTCCGCCCAGCTCACGAAAATATAACATGCTTGTTTTCGCATGGTAGTTCCGTTTTCTGCGCCTTGAATAGCATGACAATGAGCCCTGCAACGGCTAAATTGCCTAATTAAAACGGCCGTAGTAAATAGTCAGCTCAGATTCAATTAAGATGTTTTGGTACGTGCCAGCTGATCATAAATCAAAACGCGCTAATTATGAACTGAGCATCCACGTTTAAATTCAGCCTCTTACGATAACGAGGCGCACGCTGATAAGCGTGGCGGCAAGTACAATAGCGTACAGAAGTCGGGAGACAGCGCACATGTGTAGGCTGGTAGAGTTTGGACTGAATTAAAGACATTCTAAAAACATCGAAATCTGCACCGCAGTCAAACGTGTATCGCCCCGTCACGGATATCTGCCCGCAACTGGCAACCGTGGACACATCTGTGTGCGTCACCTGCGTCGTCACTGGCCAAGAAACGGCTGCTTCAGCGGCTACCCCGCCCAGGCAGGGGAATAGATATCGGTTACATCGTCAACACCTGCCCGACAGACGCAACTCAAGCCCAGAAGACAGATCCGTGAGTGCTGTAGCACACAGCTCTGATGAATATTCCCGACGGCGCGCCGCAGCTCCGGTGACAGCAAACCCCAGCGTGCGGCGGCGCCGGCCCGCCAGCCTTGGGGACCCACCGCCGGCTGGAGCAGCCACCGACCTCGGCAGCGCTAGCCGGGCTTCGACCGCGATGGCTGCGGCCGATCCAGCCGTGCTCACGAGCCATCTGACTACGGGTCACGGCCTCGTATAATGCGGGGTATTCCCGCATCCGTAATGCGACGTGCACGCTCTGGGGAGCGGTCGCCTTAACCTACAGTTCTCAACTCGCCCCCTAGATGGCACTAGCGAGCGTCCATCTTCGGCCGCTGAGTGATGCCGCCAGCCAATTCGGTTCCGGCGCGGATCTTCTTTCACAACAGGCGGCAAATCCCCGAGAAGCGGTGGATCGATAGGCTGCGTTATCGCCGATAGCTCAGCGGCCCGCTTCTTGCCAAGTCGCGGCGGATGAGCCCAACTAATCAGCGGCGGGCGGGACGGCGCCGGCCCTTTCCCGGCCGCGCGACAAAGGGAAGAGCCCGCTCCCCTGTCGCCGATAATGAAATCCCATGCAATCGCGGCGACAGCTGCCCCGGCGGCCTTCATCGGCGGGGCGCGCGGTGGGCCTCGCAGCCGAGCGGCGACCGCGCGGGGTCGCCGCGCGGCCGGGAGAGGCGCGGCACCCCTTTGTGGCCGCTGATTGGGCGGCGTCGAGCAGCGGACGCCGGCGCCGGCCGTCGCGACCCATCAGCGCCGCCGGCCCCGGCGTGACGCCGCTCTCTGCAGAGACGACGCATCGATTCGACGGACGGCGGCGGGCGGGGAGGGGATGGGGGGGGGGGGGGGGCAGGTAGCGGGTCCGTGGGCCGGGGGTGGGCGTAATGGACCGTGGAGGCGGCCGCTTTTTTCCGCGGCCGGCCCGGTCTGACGCACTGCGCCCACCCAGCACAGCGCCTTCGCTGCTCTGAGAGGCAGGGTGGAACCGCTGCTGCTCTGAGAGGGAGGATGGGACCGTCGCTGCTCTGGAAGGGAGAGTGGGACCGCCTCTGCTCTGAGACGAGGGTGGGACCGCCTCTGCTCTGAGAGGGAGAGCGGGAATGCCTTTGCTCTGAGAGGGAAGGTGAGACTGTAACGGCCCTGGGAGGGCGGATGGGCCGCAAATGCTCTGAGGGGGCGGGCGAGACCGTCACTGCCATAAAAACGCGGTTTTCCCACACATGTCTGTCACTGCCACAAGAGGAAAGACGACATAACCACTGCTCCTGGAGGGTCCGTAAAACTAGGACTGGTCCGGAGGAGCGTTCACCGTTATCCTTCCCAGACAGGCAGGATAACGCAGGCCTCGCCCCGAGAGGGCGGGAGGCGCCAGAGTTTCCCAGGCCGATCTCCAGACGTGACAACAGCAGCCCGGACAACCGGCGTCGACAATGGACGTCGTGACAGGACACTGATCTCGCGGGCCGTCACGACCGGCGCAGTCCCGCACTGCCAACAATGGGACGGGCCCCGTCGAAACCTCCGTCGCCCGAGAGAAAACGCCACGACACCCCCGGCGGCGGCCCGCCGCGGCCGGCCCGGAGCGGCGACTCCGCGCGGATGAAAGCGATAAAGCGACCGGCATCGCACGCCAGCCGGGAGCGCACGGCCGCGGCGCGGACGTGATGACAGCGGTCCGGCGCGACCGGTTTTCGGGCCGCTGCCGTGATCGGCCGGTCACGATCGGGTGCGGCCGCCAGCCGGGGCACGTCTCAGCGGGGTCTCGTCTCCGCGCGCAGATCGGGCGCTGATGGTCTGCAGCATCTTCACACGAAAATTACAAGTACCAGTACAAGTGAAGCTAAATTTGGCGGACGATGCGGCGCGTTGCATGTGGTGTGCATCTTCAGCAGCGTGAGCGCGTGAGTAACGGTAACGTCACCTGTGCAGGAGCATGCACCGCCGTGGCTACTTCTGCGAGGTGAGAAAAAAACCAGTCCAAAGCATGGAGATATTGGGAGCAAATGCAATCGGGCATGTCAATAACGCCAAAACCGGTCGGTTCCTTGTCCGTTCGGGTAAAGCAACGTTTGAACGAAACACTTCAGGTCGCTGGCTATTCTGCGTCATGTCACAAGACGCTGTCATGTCTGCTACGGCGGGGAAATGTGTTTCAATCGAGCGTAATGGACGAATTTCGTCGCGACCCCACGATAAGCAATGCTCCCAACTACCCATACTCTTCGTGTCGGGGCGCACAAAACAGCCTGTCGCGGCGCACACGCGACGGCTTTGATGTGACGTCATTACATTGTAATTACACGGGCTGCCACTAGGGCACCGCTTTGTGCTTGGGAAAAAGCGCAGACTGCGTTAAGATCTGAAAACTGGCCATGACGTGTTGCAAAAGGGAGAAGGGAGTGGGTGTTTTCTGTCTTCCACTGATGATCCGGGGATTGGAGAGACGTCTTGGTTATACAGACATTCGATGCGGCCGAATGCGAGCATTTCCCATCTCTTCGCGTTTTACTCTTGTTATTCTCCCGTGTTCTAGGGAACATTCCTGGGTAAATGCAGCCAAGATCTTCCCAAAGCAGCTCCATTACGGGGCGTGAGAAATGACTGCGGCCTCTTACAATACCCAACAACTTTCTTGCAGTTCGCGACAGCACTGACAAATGCACCTCATCAACAGTAAACCAATCATTTGCCAGGGAGCAGCCCGGCCACGGCGCTTCATATCGCCTGACAGCGGCCTATGGGACGGGACGTGATGTTCGGTGGCAGTTCTACAGCGCCATTATGCAGAGAATCTAGCGCAAACCGAGCGCAAAGTCCGTATTTCAACTTTATTGTCTGTCTGGCCACCCTTTCGCCATCCAGAAATTGAAATATTCAACTGCCGGCATCATGAACGGATATCCACGGAAGAACGAAAATCTACAGTCATTGAAATTCGTGCCGTCAAGCCCCCGGACTCGGGATTCTACTGCCGCGGGGGAGATTGGACAGGCCGATTCCATCTTTGCGCGCTGATGGCCCAGGCCGTCGGGCACCGAGCGGCGCGCCACACAAGCACAGGCCGTCCCCAGCGCACGGGAGGCAGGGGGTGAGCGCCCCTCCCCTCCCCGGCACCGCTGGCGCCACCCCCGGGCTCCGATTGGACGCAGCGCGGCCAAAACGGGCGGCGTCCCACCGCCGCCGGCCTCTCATCGACACCGGGTAACAGCACCGTCCGTCCGCGGCCAACTAATTCGCCGCGCCGCGCTCTCGGCGGCGGTCGATACTTAATTCGCGCCGTTTGGCCGGCGACGCCGGCACGGCGCATCGATAAAAACAGGGCGCAGGTCTTCGACGCGCAGCGCGATGCGACCCCGTCATCAATTCTGGGCCGGCGCGCAAAACAATTACGCCAGACGGCGCGCGATTACGAGCGGCGTCTCGGAACGGGTGCCGCGCCGAGCCGCGCGCCCGCGCCGGCGCGGGTGGGGGCGGGGCCGACCCGCAAGACGCAGCTGCGCCCGGGTCACGGCCCGGGGGAAGCACCGGCTCGGCGACGCGCGGCCGCGGGACCGGCGCGCCGCCTGGCCGGCCCGTCCGACGGCGCCGAGGACTGAGTGCGCCCCGTGATGGATCGCGGCTACTTGGGATGGAATAGCCGGGAACGAGCTCAGCTGCAAGCAGAAGTGGTGTCCGGACGGATGGGTATAACTTTGCCGGCCTTCAGCTGGCGCCGTGCTGCTGTTCCCCTGACGCGGGTAACGGGCGGTCAATGCGACCCGAAGCCGAAATCATCGGCATCACCGTGACGTAAGAAGACAGGGAAACTCCGCGCGGGCCGACCGTTCACCCTCTGACGGGTCACCATCAATCTAGGTACGTCGAAGAGTCGATACCCCGCTCGAGCCACTGCGGCGACCGGCCGACGGGTACACGATCCCAGGAGCACGGTACAACGGTGCAGCCGTGGGCGGCCGGCCGCCGCGCCGCGCTTTATCCAGCCTCGACTGGGAAGTTGGCCGACCAACTGTCAAAAACTGCCGACCGCCGGGACTCCGGGCCATCGCCGGCCCACAGCCAGTCAGTGATTAAAGACCGTCCCAGAGCGCAGTTTATCACCTATTTCATGAGTTGGAAGGCTGCCGAAAGTTGGCGACTCTGCTGACACGGCTCCCAGAAGAGGAGGAGCCACACTGAGCACGCGGGCCGCCGGAGGGCGCTCGCTGACAGCCCCCCCCCCCCCCACCCCCGCCGCCAAAGCCGGCCTAAGGCTGCGCCGATCTTGATCGTCACGCTTCGAACAAGGACCAACTTCTCCACACAGCGCGAGCAGCGGGTCAACGCGGAGCCCGCCTCGGCCAACGTGCCAAGGTCAAGGTCACGGTCACGTCTCCAGGCCTGACATGACCTGGAGACCGGGGTAAGACCTCGTCTGCAGTATGACGTCACCCACCCCATAATCGCGCAGCGACTTTTAGGTGATCCGGACCGGAATGAGGTCCAGCCTATAGTGTGACGTCACTCCACCCACGCTGGCGTGTTGGCCGCGTCCGAGCTCGCAAACCAGTGACACCCCGACGAAAACTTTAAACTAACAATGGAGAAAGGAGTGCAATACCGTCGGTGGCGTGACGTCACCCACCTGACGGTCACGTGACAGCCCCGGCAGAGCCACCTGACGTATGACGTCACCAACCCGACGGCCGTGAGGTGACCGCGGCCTGATCGTGGCCGGAGTGAGGCTCCATCTGCAGCACGACGTCAGTGGTCGTATCATCGCACGGCGCCCCCGCCCCAGCCCGCCCGGTGTGACGTCACTCACCGGACAGCGCCTGCGTCAGTAGAGGTCCTGTGCCGTTCGTCAGCGCGCCGTTCACCAGATCTGCAACCGAGACCGACCCAGTCAGCACCACGGCGTCGGCCGACCCGCTTCGTTAACCACTCACCGGCCGCTGCCCCTCCCCCGCCTTCTCATACACCGGAGCGCGCTTTTTAGTCGGAGAACGATGTGAGAGAGGCCAGTGGGGGGCGAAACTTCATCAACTTTTTGCCAAGCGCCACCTCCTCAGTCTTGTTGTCCGGTCCTCTCAACTCCAAGTGCGAAGAGCCGGTAGCCCTGCGGGAAATGAGCACTTAACGGGCGGCAGTTAGGCGCCTCCCTCGCCCGCGCAGCCTGCGCCCCATCGCGTTAACAGCGGCCCGCATCCCCGGGCAACGCCGGCTCCGATTCATGTGGCGAGCCCCAAACACCGCGCGGCGCGCGGCCCGCTCGTGACTGCTGCGTCTGCCGACCGCCTAATGGCTCTCCAGTGAGTTGGATTTTTCATATCGCTGTCGGCGAAGTTGGGGCGCCGTCAGCTGGTGGTGAGGCGGGAGTCGCACACCCCGCGGCGGCGCTGGGCTCGCGCAGCTGGTGTGTCGCCCGCAGGCCGCCGGCCGAGCTCGACCAGCTGCTGCGTGGTGCCCCTAGAGCACAGGGTCTCTCAGATCCCAGGTTGGCCTTGTCTGATTTTGTTTTATTGCGGCGACCGCACGTTTCCCTGGCTGATTTCCCATGTTCCAGCCGGCTCACTGAGTACCTTCGAGTTAGTACTTCTGCACGAACACTGGGAACATCGAAGATGACATCAGGGGAGATCTTCCCACTACTAATTCTTCTGGAGCAAAGCATGTGCGCTTCTGAAAAGGGCCAAAAATGAGCTCTGCAAGCGTTCCCAGCGACCATGGAGTCCAGAGACGCGCACTGCACAGCATACCGGCGCCATGCAGCATTGCAATGCCATTAGCAACGCAATCCATTACGCCAATTGCAGCCGGCCAGCCGAAACCCAGCAGGTCGTAAGTTGCAAGACAAACGCGACGTGCAGCACACTTTCTCCAGAGCCGAGCGCAGTCCCATTGTCCCTCACGCCGGGCGGCAGCGTCCCGCACGTGGCACCCTGGAGGGGTGCTGCCAGCGGCGGCGTCGAGCCCTGCGGCCGAGCGGGGAGCCCACGGCGGCCGTCGGAGCGTCTGCGGGCGAGCAGCGCCGCAGGAGAACGGCGGCGCCGCAGGAGAGCCGCTGTCACGCAGGAGACGGAGGAGGCGAGCGGCCGACGGAGAGCGGCTTTTTTTGCCGCCGCCTCCGCCGTCGGGGTCGATGGGACAGGCGCGGACGTCCGGCACGCTCTCCGGTCGCGTCGACACGGCCCGGTACCCTCCCCCCTACCCGGCCGGTCGCAGGCGGCGCAGAGACAGGCGGAGGCAGTCAGCATGAACGTTCGGGCGAAGCCGCGCCTAACCAGCCGCTTCAGGTACAGATGGCGGCGTAAGAGTGGACGTCGCTGAGACGGCGTGGAGTCCTACGGCATGATCGTATTGTATAACGCATGGGGGAAGCATACGTGTGGCGCATGACGTACGACGTATATCGTGTGACGTCGCATACAGCGCGTTCAATGGGTCACGCTCATCGCATTCCCAACGAAAAAACGTGACTCGGTGCGACCGTGACATTCAGCGGAGCTCAGTCACCACTCGTGAGGCGTTGGGTACGAATCTCAGCGACGGTCCGACTTCAATGCAGACGGCCCCTGGTGTGTTGTAGTCCACTTAACTTTGCCAGACGTTAGATACGCTCTTAACGTGTCGCAAGCAATCTTTTGCTGCAATCAACTTCACGCCCCAAAACGGCCAGCAGCTCTGCTTGTCTGCTTTATAAATCATGTTCCGACACTTGCGCGGCCGGTCATCACCATCGCGATCCATGACGCGCATTTCACCGAGCAAGACGAAACACAGCCGCCAAAGGCAAGCTCCACGCTAAAGAAGCCACAGTCACAGGTTGAGCATGCCTCCTTGAGTAGTCACGGCATCTCGCAACCCCAGTCTGGCTGACATTTGCGGTCGGGGATGAATGACTGAGGACTTGCCGCCGGGTCCGGAGTCAAGGGCTTGCCATCTGCTCGGCAGTGCAATTGTGGGCGACCCCCCCCCCCCCCCGGAGTCCACTCGGTTGCGGCCCATTCAGCGCTGCAAACACGGTGCCTGCGCTTGAGTGGAGCTGTCAGCGAGCAGCGCAATGTGAAAACATAAGGGAAACACCGAGCGCTTGATACACCGATCAGCACAGCCGCAGCGGTTAAAGACTCGGAATGGCAAATTGACAATTTTGAGTTATTCATAATCATGCACCCAATGCGCGGCGCTGGTGGTGAAAACTATCCCGCAGGGTGTAGAAGGGTGGGCGGGAATTTGGACACAGCGACGTGGTATGCCGTGGAGAAATACAACACGGTCGAGGAAACCCGACTTTCGTTGACATTCCAATTTGCCCGGCGCACAAGCATGATCGAGCCAAGCGCCCTCACATTCCCGGGTTGAGCATGACTTGCAGTCGCCCGACTCTCCAGCAAAAGGCTGCAGCAGCGCCGAGCGGTGTTAAATCAATGGCCGGTGCCTATGCGCCCGTAATCGGCGGTCCAACTGGACGCATTTGCTTCAAACGGCCGGCCGGCAATTGATCAGTCGGTCCGCCGGCCACTTGGGCGCGGCCACTGGCCAATCGAAAGGCATTCAGCACCGGCCGTATCGACCCCGGCAACGGCCCGCCCTCGACGACGGCGCCGCCTGACCTGACCCCGACCGCGCCCGGAGGCACGCCATGACCCGACGCCGGCGCCCGCGGCACGGGGCGCGACCCGGCGAGGCCGGCTCCGCAGGCGGCGGCGATTGGGCTCCGGTCGGCTGCGGCACCGCGCGCTGCGGGTTTGAGGGGCTCGAGCCGCGCCGCCGGGGACACCGTCAGTCAAGCACCGGTGACGAGCTCAGCCGGGGGGCGGTCCCCGGCGCGTCGGAGCCGGGGCAGGCCGCCGCCGCCGCCGCCGCCGCCGCCGCCGCCGCCAGCAGGCCGCCTAATTACCGAGCGACTCCAGCATCGGCGCCGGCGCGGTGCCAGGCCGTGTCGGCGCCGCCCGCGATTGGCGACCCTGTTTTAACAACTTCTCGAGTCATTTCATAACCCGCACCGCGAGCGGCGCGGAACAGCGCAGCGCCGCATGACCATAAAGTGTCGCCGGGGCCGGTCGAACGTCCGACAGGAAATGAAACCAAACCGCAACTAGTCGCGCCGCACGGCGGCAAGCCCAGGCGACGCGACCAGCAGCGGAACGACAGGGAAGGAGGGAGGGGTGGAGGGAGGAGCGCGGGCGCCACGGACAGTGCAGTGAGGGAGAGGCAGTCTGCGGCACAGACTCACGGCAGGGTGGCGGCTAAAATAGCGAGCGAGGACGGGGGGCGTGTCGGTACGAGCGTGACGCAGAGGGTGGGAGGGCACAGGCAGCGCCCGGGCATTCCTCCAGCCGTATTACGCGTGCCCGGCCTGTCAGGGCTGTTTTTTCCCAGCCGCAGCGTCATCTGGATCGCATTCCTGGCGTTCCGGCGCCACACAGGGGAGCGCGGCGACGCCGGCCCGTCCCAATCTCCGGGGACGCGTCGGCCGGCCATGGCGACAGCCGGCTGCCGCCGCAGCTGCCAGCCGAGGGAGCTGTTGTTTGTGCACGGCCCGGCGCTCTGTTGTGCGGGTCAGGGACAGGTGAGAGCGCTCAGACCCGACTGGCGGACGGGCGTGGCGCACGTCGTCAAACGCCGGATCAGACACAGCGCCCGTCTCGGCCGCACCGGCACCGCATCTCTTTTGGCTGCGGGCTTTTCAAGTCTGAAAGGCCAGCGTAAATAAATTGAAGCTCGTACATCTTGGCTGCATCCTCGACGCCGGCATTAAATTACTTTCGACCGCTGCTCGCCCGCCCGGTTTCTCCGAGGCGACTTTTACGTTCTTCCTCACAAGCAACACTTCAACGTAGTGGCCATATCTTCAGTGCGTGTCTATGGCGCAGGCCCACTTCACATTGGCTGCGAGTTTAATTTCCGCAGGAGTTTGGATTTATTTGTCCGACTTCGAGTGCCGGGGATATAAACAAGATAGTTCCGTCTCGGCCTTTGTATGGTCCGGCCCGGTTCCACACAGTCAACACTTGAAAAAGAAAGAGGAAAGTCAAGCGCGGCGTCAGCTGACTGAAAGAAAGTCAGGGAAGTCTCCTTCCCACCCCTCCTAGATCCCTCTCTCTCTCTTCAACGCGTTTCTTCCCCTCCCTATCCTCCCTCCTGTCGGGTTCACGCACTCAGTCGTCACCTCCCTCCCGCCCACCCTCTGCCGCTCCTCTACCAGACCGTTCTCTCTCCTCGACCGTCGCCTGACGCCCATAGTCTTCTCGGGCCTCGTGCCCGGACCAGCGCGCGGGCAGGTGGCGCACGCTGATCACGGCTCGTCACCAGTCCTGACGGCGGCGGGCATCCGCTCTCACGAGATGGCGCGCGGAAACGGCCGAGTAGCTCACCAGGCATCACCGTCGAAACGATAAAACGCTTGCAGAATGAATCTCTCGGAGCATTCGCTGCTCCTCAACGGCGGAAAGTTTAAAGCTCTATCGAGCATGTGAAAATGAAAAGCCGGCACCGGCGCGGCGCCGAATACAAACGGTTTTCATTATCATCGCGGCCAGCCCAGTTCCTTAGCCCTCAAAGCCCGGCGAGGGAAGAAAGCACCGCTACGCTGACGGCAAACTAACGACATTAAACCGATTACATTTATTAAGTTGGACGTCCAGCCTGGCCTGAGTGTGCCGAAAACAGGCTCGTTACAGAGTTGGCACGTCCGCATTTCCCTGCACTCGAGCAACGGCGTCCTGCGCCGAGCCAGCCGGCGCGCGCGGCGGGGTGGACCGAGTGTGGTGCGGTGCTAACGGGGTGGACCTGGTGCGTGGAACTTGTTTAGGTGGAATTAGTGGCACACTACTGGCTTGGTGGAGCGGTGGCGCACCACTCGGAGACCACGTCGGAGCCGGGTCGAGATTGTGGGGTGCCAAGGTAGGCATGCTGGAAAAGGTGACGGGACTGATGGTGGAAATGCTGGAGCGAAAGCGATAGGGTGCAACCATTGGTGGACGCGCCGGTTGTGGCATACGAGCGGTGGTTAACGTAACTGTACCGACGCTGCTAGTGTCCAGACGGCAATGAACGGAAAACGCATTGGCTGCGGGTTGAAAGTGACAGGCACTGACGGACCCACAGCCGGGTGGTGACGGTAGGCGCGCCAAAGCTTCTGGCTTTAACAATCACCACGCTGTGTTTGTAGTGGACACATCGTTATTAGTATCGCCCACTTACATGACAAACATATTCTGATTGATGATTCTGATGGCGCTGCAAATTATATGCAGGGTGTTAATTAAGCGATGTGGATAATAATGTTCAGTCGCCGACGAAGAGGCCTGACGACATTGACGGATAGGTGCAATACAGCCCAACAAAACCACTGAGCCACGGCTAGACTAGCCGCGGGCGTCCGCAGTGAGCAGCGCGCTCCGCGGCCGGCCCCCGCGGCGCCGCGCGGCCGGCGACGTGTCTGCGGGGCCGGCCAGTTCGGGGGGCGGCGCCGCGGTCGAGCCGTGTGCTGAGCAGACACGCGCCGCCGCCGCCGCCCGCCTATTTCGGGAGCGGCGAATTAGTCCGCATCATATCGTTTGATCGATATCACATGCCGCTGCACCCTGTTAATTATTCACTAAAGTTGCCTGGCCGGCTGTGTGCCGCCGGAGAGCGCGGCAGGGTACATTACGTCACCGCAGCTGGCCGGCTCCGTGACCGGAGAGTGGACCCGAGCGGCACGGCCGCGCGGTCGGTGGCACGTGTCAGGAGCGGCCCTGGGAGCGGCTGATCTGCGAACTGCCACGTGCCGCGTAACGTGCATACTTCAGAGACGAACGTGGGAAATTTGTGGGACATGTCTCCAGCTGTGGACACGGCCACCATCAGCGAAGCAATGACATCCACACGCGATGACGGTTTTCATCGCTGGTACGCAGCGATCCGCCGGCCGCTGCTTCAGTTGGCTGTCGCCTCCACGCACTGCGAGGCTTGTGAGCCACGAAAAGGCGGGCTGGTTTCGGATTCGTTTGGCTGGCACGGCCTGTGCTGGGTTTCAAGACACCTGACCCGACTTAAGCATTGTGTTTTGCTTCTGTTGGCCTCGTGATGGATATTTCATCAACATAAGAGCCGCCGAGGAGAAACACTACCGGAACAGCTAGGACGGGCTGAACAAACAATTTCACAATCATACGGAACAGCACACAGAGGAATAAATTGCAAAGGAAGACCTGATGCTGAACAAAACATCCATTATTTAGCAAGCAGACGCTCTACCATTTCCCGAAAACAAAGCGCTACTCTCGCTTCAATTTGCTTGCCGTTTCCAGGATATCATATCACACTGAGCCCTTCTGGCGTGTCCAACGTGGCGCAAAGACCACCGACGTGTAGCTTCACATGAACGCCGGTAAGCTGCAAGGGGTACTATGGTGCCCGCCAGTGCTGTCCACGGCGCAGTTTGGAAAAGCCGGGGCATGGCCCTCTTCAAGGGATACACGAATTACGATAGCCTCCGCCTGTGACGTTCGGTCTACCACAGCCAGCGTCCATCGAGCTTCGTCTCTCCACCCGCCGCACGCATCGTCAGCGCCCCAGTCTGGCAGTCCACTGCGCAGTCTGGCCCCACGCCGGCCTATCCGCAGGGCACACGGGCCAACCCCTCTCCCCCTCTTCACACACCCGGCGGCCAGTCTCCCCACCTCCGCACGGGGCCAGGCCGGCGCGCCGACCCCCGCCCCCGCCCCACCGCCGGAATCGCACACCTGCGCACCCACCTGTCCGCGTGCTGTACGGGTTGTCGCGGTGCAGCGGCGACTGGCTGACGTGGTTCTCGGTGCGGCTGGGCGTGCTCAGGCTGACCGGGCCCGGCGCCGGCACGCCGGCCGAGTAGTCCTGGTAGTAGGTGGTGCCGTTGGGTCGCTCCGCCGCGCCGTTGGTCGCCAGCGCGGCGCCCGCCGGCGACGGGAAGTAGCCGTAGCTGGTGAAGCTCGCTGCAACACCGGCGTGCCGGTCAGGCGCCGCCCGCCGAGGGCCGCGGCGAGGTCACGGGGCGGAGAGGTCGCGGGGAGGGGTCGCGGGGGCAGCCAGGTCACGGGCGGGGCGGCCACAGGGGCCAGGCGATAGGGGCACGGGCGGCACAGGGCACGGGACACCAGACGAGGCCGGGAAGACCACCGCGCGGGCCACGTCCGCACAATCACGGATAATGACTTGGCGTTTTAAGGCGCGCATGACTGTAAAGGTCAGTGTGCGCTCATTAGCGCAATGGCTCTCAGGTTTACCGCCGGGAGTGGGGAACGGGTCTACCGGGCTGTCACATCGATCAGCAACAAAGGGCAGCGACCGGTTACGGGACACCGTTTGGAACGTCCCGGCTAATTCCGAGTGTTGGAAGTAAGAAGGGGTTGAAATACTCGGCTCCAAACACAGACGGAGCGCTCTTTTCGAGGCTAACTAATAGGTCTACTAGCACCACAGCAACTCACTCCAGCCACTCGCTGTCTACACGACACTAAATTACCAATGTTTTCTTCTGAAGAGCTCTAAATCTTCTATCCTCATTTCGGTATACTATATAGGCACTGTCTATCACTACGGATATTCCACTTTTCTATCTTTCTGACGAATCCACTCGTCTAGATCTACTGTTAATATCATCTGGCGCATTTGCTTCTAAAGCCTCGGCCGTAAATAGACGGCGCAGAACGCTACCGAGGGATCCGCCTAAATCCCTACCGCTACTGCTATGTATTTGGTAGATATATAGCCGGACTACACACTCATTAGGCATTATCCTTACCTAATTTATGGCCTGTCAGGATTCGCCAGTGGGCGTCGGCTACTGTCTACCGTACGCCCGGTGCCAAGTGATTAGCAGCTCGGCAAGAGCGGCCGCCGCCGCCCAGCAGCGCGGCCTCCGTCTCGGCGGCTCGCGGGGTGTCCGTCCCGCCCTCCCCTCCTCCGCGGCGCGTGGCGTCGTCAGCGGCCGGCGCGCTGGGAGGCCGGCTGCGCATGCCTGGGCGGGCAGGCGGCGGCGGCGCGTGCGGGGCGACTACGGGGCCTGGCTAGCGGACTACACCTGCCTGCTGGCGGCAGCTTACCGGCCGGGTAGGCGGGGTAGGCCTTGAGCGCGGGCTGCGGGCCGGGCCCGGGCCGGGCGCGCGCCGGCGCCGGCGCCGCCACCAGCGTCGGCGTGTAGGCCAGCCCTGCGCGCACCACACACACCGTGGTCATCCGCCGCCCGCGGCACGCCCGGCGCACGCCGACCCACGCCAGACGAGCGCAGCCGGCCGCCCCTCCGTCCCGCTGCGCCCCGGTCCGGTCGGGACCCCGTCCCGGCCGCCGTCACGGTCCCGCGTCGGTCCCCGCCGTCGCTGAGTGGGGCCGCTCGGGTTTACGTCCCGCCTCCTCCCCCCGTCCGGTGCGCGAGCGGCGCGACCTCGCCGCCCCTCCCCGGCGAGTGCCCGCCCGGCTGGCCGTGCCCGCCCGGCTGGGTTCCGCGCGTGCTGGCCGAGCCTCGCCTTCGCCACCGGTCCGACACGAGCCGGCCACATCCGCACCGGTTTATTGATCAGCTGTCTACAAACAATCGGGCTCGCCAGGCGGCCGTCCCGACGTCAGCCGACTGAGAGACCACCCGAGCCGACGGGGCCGCTGACCGGCCCGGACAACAGACAGGGGACGGCCCTGGAGCACGAGCGGGAAGCTAAAGAAGACTAAGGCCGCGCCCGGAGAAGGAGCAGAAGCCGGCAGCGGGGTGGGGGCCAACCCGGGGGAGGAGCGGGAGACGAGGGAAGACTGGGACCGGATGACCCAAAGAAAGAAGGCGGAGACTGCAGATGACCAGGACCGGGTGAAGAGGGAGAGCGGAGGGCAACGGCAGACTGCAGTCAGGTGCCAGGGAAGGACAGGAGAGGGCAACAGATACAGGCAGGGCTCTATAAGGCAGGCAAGCACCAGGCCAAGGAAGGGCCCTCCGGCACAATCAGGACAAAAGGTTAGAGCAGTCCTGAGCACTGCCAAACAACCACGTCGTTGTCATAAAACCGCATAATAAAGCCGCAGAGGCGGCGTATAGACAGCGCACACACGCAAACAGAGGGACCGACGGCCGGCCACACCTGCCCATAGTGACGTCACGCCCGGTGGCGCGAGAGCGCGGTGCCGGCCAGCGCGGAGAAACCACACGCTTTCGAGAGCAGAACAACGGCGCGAGCCCCGTAGCGCGGGGAAAATAAAGGCTCTTCAACAGCGAACCACAATATTGCACATTTAGTCCGATACGTATACACTCAACGGGGCGGCAGACGGTGGCCACGGGATTCGACAAGTAGGAAACGGTGGACAGCGGGAGGATGAGGCCGCCAGGAGACTCGAGGCCAACAAAACGACGGGTGGAAGGATTCCGTCTCTAGATCCGCAAACCACATGTCCAACGGCAACGACGAGCTGGAGTAGCGGGGCGGCGGGCAAGACCGACGCATTTCGTCGCCATTCCCGGCGTGGGTAGAGCGTGCAGCGCGGTGCTGCGGACCGAAGGAAAGCAGTTCTGGCGCCCAGCCAGCTGATTTGATATGCAAGATCATGAAAGTGGCCGTAGAACCGTAGAAACGCCCCGCGGCCAGCTAATCGCGGGCGAGCGCGTCAGCTGACCACCTCGGGAACAGCTGACGCCCTCGCCGGGACCCCTCCCCTCCGGGGCCGTGGCGCCTGGGGCGCAATGTTTAAGGGTACCCGTCCCACGGCCCCTGCTGACAGGCTCACGGAAGGCGGAGTGGGGCCACAGTCGGCAGACTGGGGTGGGGACACGACAGGGGGGCCATGGCGTCACCTCTGGGGAAGCCGGACGCCGACCGACAAGCATGACGGGCCACTTTTCACTTCTAAAAAGAGTCTTTCACTTCAGGTCACCTCTAAGAAGAAGAATCGCGATACGCAGTCTTTTGGCACGTGCACGTTCAGCGGAAGGAACGTCTGCTATGGAGGTACATTCGGGTAGTTATGGTCGCACACAGGTCACGTCCTATCATACCAGAGCTATTCCGAAGGAGCTAAGGAGTGTGGAATGGGGGAGAGGCCCGCGTCTTCACCAGCAGGTGGAGCGGAGTCAAGAATGGACTGGGGCCGATTCAGCAGGACTACCCACATGGCCTACCGCGTCACCGCCAACATCGCAATCGGGACCGACAGCGGGCTACGGCCAGCATACCGGCGGCGTCATATCCGCCTACACGCGCCACGCCTACGGCAGACAGACCTGGTACGACACGTGGCACACGTATGGACTAGGATACCTGAGATAGTTGACACGTTTCCGCGCGCGGCCGCTGTCGGCCGGCACGTCAGCAGGGGCGCGCCACTGGCGCCCGTCCAGAAGGAGCGGGCGCGCGTACCACCGCGTGAGGCGCGCGTCTTTTACATGGCCCGGCCGAGTCATAACGCGCCCGGGGACAAACGGAGCCAGGCGGATCACGCGAGCCGACTTGGCCCCGCACCAGGCTCGTGACGCACTCGAGTCGGGCCGCCGGCGCCGGCAGAGGGGCCGGGCCGGGCGCCGCGCGCCGAGGCCGGCGCCGGTCGCCTCCAGCCTCGGCCGCCGGCTGCCCGGCGGTACAGCGTCCGCCAGGGGGCGGCTGGCCGCCGGCCGGCCGGCACCGGTCCGGCGCCTCACAACGGCAGAGCGTGCAGCCCGTACAGGCCTAGCTCGGGCAGGTACGGCACCACTTGCGGCATATTACCTGCGTAGGGGAAGCCGAAGCCGGCGTACCCCGAGTAGCCGCGTCCGGCGTAGGCGGCGTACGCGGCCGCCGCTGGGAAGCCTGAAAACACGCCCCGACGAGGTCAGCTCGGGCCGGGGACGGCGCGCGCAAGCGGCGAGGCGCCCGGGGAACGCCGCCCAGTGGCAACGGCAGCTCGGCTCGGAGTCGTTTCACACGTGGCCACGCGCATTGCGCTGTGATGGAGCTTTTCTCCAGACCCGGGCCAACCGAGCGGCGTCCCACTGGTGCGTCTGAACACAGGCAAAGCGCGTATTCACACGGTATGCCGCCAGTGGACTAATAGCGTCTATAGACTATCCACTCCCCAACCTGGCGGCAACTAGCCGTCTAAGTTTATATTAGTGCTATGGATTGAGTGCATCCAGCTGGTATTTAGCAATCTACACAGCCTATGCTAACGTATTGTTCCACTGTGGCATCAAGGAAACCGCTACTTATGAGAGAGACAGGGATATACGGTCACATATCCTAAGCAGCTTTATCCACGTTTGCAATGTGCACCATATCGGCAACGGACTTGTCCATGGAGTATTACGTTACTCCGCTTCGGGAGCCAGGAAAACGCAAGGTCAACTCAATTCGGTCCCTCCTTCTCAGTTGTTAATGTTAGAAGCCCAGAGACGAACTCAAGCCCAAAGCCCCAGAAAAGAAAAAGCACTTTAGAACAAAGACACCGGGGACAGAGGAAGCAAAGTGAACCCAGCAGCCATGCAGAAGTGACGGTCGCCCACAAAAAGCAAGAGGACATGACGCGTGTGGTGAGACATTGCTAAACTACCGAGAAATCAAGTAATGTTCACTGTCCGGGGTCTATTCTACAAGCACTACGACTGATTGCTGCTCTTTGTTTGGTCGGGGGCGCCCAGCTTGTCTCGAATACACAGCGCAGTGTTTTGAGGCGGGCCTGAAATCCCGTCTGGCCACTCAGCAGCGGCCAGTTGACCGCATTATCGGCGTGGATTTCTCCCACAGAGGGAGCGGACCGGGCGGCGGCCATATTGGTCGGCCGACCCGAACGTGGGACGAGACGGGCCCGCTCCCGCCAGACCAGCAGTCAGCCCGTCACTACCGAGAGGAATCTGATGGAATGAATGGTACGTACCGTTCTGTCGCACCCCCAGTGACCACACTAGTCTGCAATGTGAAGATGCACGGCGCCACGCGTCCGAGACCCGTGAACCCATGGATTATTTCGCGTCGAGTGGATGGGGCAGCGCACGGGGTGGGGGCGTCGCGCGCGCCGCTGGAGCGGACGCGCCGGCCGCGCCAATTTCAGGGGGCAATTTTGGGCGCCAGCGGCACTACGTTGTGGGCACTGGGTTGTGGCGATCTACGACTAGCTAAGGGGTGTTGATGCTAGGGCGTCTAGTTAGAAAAGTAACGGAGCGCGACACTACCGAAGCGTCGCGCGCCTCTGCTACGGCGAGGTGACTTGGCCCGCCGTGGCCGGCCCCATCCGTCAAATAATCCATGGGTTGTGTGATGCAACTCATAAAAATAAACTTTACGAAGAGACGACGAGACCAAACGGAGGTAGTGAGGTCACTGGGAGCTCGTGCCAAGATTGCCATGCCGCCCACCAGCCAATCAACATCAGCTTTACATCTGAGTCAGCCAATCGGGCCTTCCCGCACCTGAGACAGGCACAGATTTTCATCGTTCGGCAGGTGCATACGATTATTAAGGAGCCCAATCGACTACGAACTACCACTACTGCACTACTACAACTACGGACTACAAACTACAGATTAGCCGTATCGTTGGGGACGGATTAGAAAATGGACAGAAAATAATCGCTTCTCGCATTTATTGAGTGAAAGAGGTTAAATACAAAGCTAACGACATGTATTCAGACAAAAAGGAGGCCTTGGCACAAAGCAAAAGAGTCTCCTCCCCCGCTGCTCGGGGGCGGCATATATGGGGAGATAGAGAAGTGGAGACCGGAGACCGGAGACCGGGGGACACTGGTGGGGGCCGGATGGAGACGCCCCCGCCCCGCGGGGGCGCGCCAGACTCGTGTGGTCACGTGGGGGTGCCGACGCCTAACTAAACCGCGGCACGGGTCGGCGCAACACAGCAGAAGCACGACAGAGAGGTACGGCTAATATCAAAACACGAGAGCGCCGCGCGGCGGACCCGCCTCCGGCTGCGCCAGACTAGCTGGCTCGTTGTATGTATTCACCATCACAAACTGGGCGACTAGCGCTACTCGTCGGGGCCACACAGCCACCCACCAGTCTCCCCTCAGCCAAACGAGTACACAGTCCATCGCGGCGCAACACTACGGGAAACCAACGACAAAACGCGACCAATGCACGACCACAACAGTCTGATCGGCCACGCTCACGCACGCACATTCTGCCAACACAGTCACCAAAGTGGCATCAAGTCTAAAATATATAACACTGCGTCTTTTCCTGCTGCCTTTAAGTACACATACTGATCAAGTACTAAAGCAAACCGACCGTAAGTACTCGTACATACAAAGAAAGGATTTCAGCCAACGCTAGAAGAGTGGCCTACAACACAGGTGGTTGGAAAACCAGTTAAAACGGCTCAAAACTCACTCAAACTCAATGGTCAGACGGCGCAAATGAGACTAACCCTCTTGAGCATTTAAATGGAATTCTCTCGGAAACTGTATCCCTCTAAAGGCTCGAGAAGGGCACACGTGAGGCTTTCCCGGCCGCCCGGTCGGCCGGCGGCGCGCGCTCTACTCCCGGTGGACTGAGAGGCGGCACACTACGCCAGGGTCGTCAGGAGGGCAGATGTTGTAACCCCGCAAACCACCAGATAGAAAACTCAGGGGTTTGTACTATTGCTGCTCCATACTAATTTGGAAGACACTGGCCGTTAGCAGTCGGCGCTTAAGTTTCACTAGTTCGGCTAAAGCTCGGCTAGGTCCCGCTAGCGACAAGTGCACTGGTGGACGCCCTGTCCGCGTGGCTGTGACGTACGGCACGGAAGCTGGGCTGAAGAGAGCTCGAGGCGTTGTGAAAAGACAGAGAGCCACAGATGCAGGGAAGAGTGGGTTAGTGTCGGCGACATCGCTCGGCTACCAGTACCAAAATAACTGTGTATAAAATTGGAATCGTCAGGCACCGAATGGCGCTAACTATCAGACTAATCCGTGTCTAAATTTCGTCTCTCTAGATAGCTAGGAAGGCTAAACTATTTCGAGTACAAAATTGAAGGACATTTTGGTGCCTGCAGTAGCAGCGCCGAGAACACGACCGCTGATAAATGATCGGAAACAAAGACAAACACGCCTGTTGCAGTTTGGTAGGTGGCAGCCAATAACACGTGACCCTGAGAGGCCAATGGGTTGTCGCCTTCAGAGCCATTTCTCTTTTACGAAGCGTCGAAGATGTCGACCGTCAGCACAAACTCACGAGATGCGCCTGGCGAGTATCATAAATGAACAGTCGGCAATCGAGAATGCCAGTGTCACCTCCCGAATGGGGACAGCGCAAAATAGCCTCACAGGTAGGGGTGGAACACTTCAAATAACGAGATTCAAGCTAGCGTCGTATAACACAGATATACAACAGCACAAAGACATGCATGTCTTTTACTTTGTTCGTTATTACTGCCGTTATTGCTACGCGTTCGTCCCTCCTTATTACCGGCCGGAGACAGCGTGTATCATACATGGCGCACGGGCGACGAACGCGACGCTCGGTGCCGCGCCATAGTCCCGCGCCACGACCGCCGTGAGCGCGCGCGCGCCCGCCTACAGCCCGACAGGGATCTGGTAGTACTGGTCGAACCCGAGGCCAGCCATGGCGGGCACTGTGTGCACGGCGGGCGGAGCGGCGCCCAGGCCGCCGGCGAACAGCTTCTTGCAGCTGGCCAGGTCGAAGCCATGCAGCGTACCGGCCAGGCCGACCTGGCCCAGGCCGTGGGCGCCGAGCAGCGGCGCCGACTGTAGCGCGGCGGCCGGCGCGCTGGCCACGCACGCCGCCTGCACCGACGTCGGCACCGAGTACGGGCTGTACCGGTAGGCGGCCAGCGACGGTAGACCGGGCGCCACCAGCACCAACTCACCGTAGCCGCCGCGCGCGGCCGCGCGACCGCGCGCCAGGGTCTGCGGCAGCATCACCTCCTTCGGCTGCGCTTTCTTGCACTCCACCTGGAACGGGACGGTGCCGGCGAGCGGTGTCAGTGGGCGGCGCCCCTCTCGGGGAGCGCGGCACCCCTCCCCCCTCCGGCCAGGTCACGCTCTCGCATTGGTCGGTTGATGGTCCTCTGGCAGCAGGCCATGGCAGGTCGGGTCAGGTCATGGCAGGACGAATCTCACCCACGGTAGCCTGCATCCCACGGTGCAGCTCTCCGGTCGCGCGAGTGCAACTAAAGACGCTGACAACATTCTGGTCTGGTGCAGGGCGGGTCGCTCGAACCGTTCAGTCCACGCATCGCGATAAGATCCGTTCTTAAAATGAACGCCGTTGCGGAAAATTCGAAACGAAAATAAAAGTTAATGACACATCATTCGGAGCACGCACCGGTGGCGGAGCCAAATGGTTGAGCGCCCGCCATTGCGGGCCCTCGACTGGCTGAAGTGTCAACTCTATTTGAAGTCTGCGTGTGCGGCAGCCTATCGCGGTGCGGCCCAGTGAGACCCATTCGCGCTGATTCCACAACACAAAGGACATAAATCTGCCAGCAAACTATTTTGGATGGCGAGACATTCAAAAGCCCGGTCGATTCATTCGGAGCTTAAGTCGGTGCCCGGGCGCCCTCTCAATGCGGAATTTATTCCAAAAGTGGGCGCCTTGTCAGCAGAATGAAAAGATGAAATCGGCGCCTGCCGATTCGGGCAATCCCGCTCCGTCAGGCGCTCTATACACTTACGCGACAGATCCCATTCAGGCGCGGATCTGAATTATTCAGCTTGGCCGACCCCGTGCGCCCTCCTGAACTCAGCGCATGCGCAGTGGGCACCAATATGCGGCCTGACTCGACGCAAATACCAGGCCAGCGCAGCTCAGCCCAGCTCAAACTCGGAACGAGTTCTCTTTACCCGGCCGTTTTTACTGCTGTCTTTACTTTCACTGTTATTTGCCACACTCGCCGCGTCGATCGATGCGATTTTCCGGTTAAGACGAGCCGCCTGAGCGACCGCTCGCGCCGCCACCCAACAAACTCGAGCTGTTGGCGGCAGCGGCGGCGGCGGCCGAGAGTGACCGGCCGGTACCGGTGGGACGCGCGTGCCGACGGCCCCGTCCCGACAGCGGGAGCTGCGGGCCGCGCCGCCGGACCGCGCCGTCGGGTCGCGGCCGACGCTGGAGCGGCGCCGCCCTCCTGTCGGCCGCGACGCTCCGGCTGCAGACAGGCCGCCGGCTGCAGGCGGGCCACCGCCGTTCGCCGCGGCTCGCCGCCTTTTACGGCCGATCAACGGAAGGCTCGTCTGGCAACGGTGCCAACGCACACAGCCGGCCGGATCAGAGCACAGGCCCTGCCCTGTCCTCCCCGAGCGCCGAGCGGACCCAGAGCGGCTCTCCAGGCTCACATGCTGCCCGACGCCCGGACGCCGACGCTCCGGACGGCCCACGCTGTTTAGCTTTAGGCCTTTTCGTTTTCCTTCACTTTTCCAGCCGAGGGTACCCCATACCTCTCCATCCCGTCGCAGATCCACACGTAATCGCACTCTGCCAATCCGACGGCACGACGGTGGGATGCGACACAGAAGAAAGCCCCGCATTTAGAGAGGAGCCGTGGACGATTTTCTCTTTGGGGCCAACAAAAATGGCCGAACAAAGCAGCCTCATCGGCTTATTGCTCCAAGCTTTTTTCGCTAAAAATCTGCGGAACGTTTCATTGAACAATGCTGAAACAACGAAAGGGCTTCGCGGCTTACAAGATTCGTTTAGGACATAAAACGCCAGACCAGTCTACCATAAGACGCCAATCAGGGACAATGATCGACGTTGTGACAGCACAAGCACCCGGGCTCAGAAAATTGCGGACAAAAAACGCCAGAGCGCCCGGTCATTTCTGTGTTGCAAGCACCACACACTCCACACACTTTGATCACGAGAAATTGCGTACTTTCTTTGATACCTTACGTCGAACACTAAACCATTTTCCTTTTGCTGACGGTGGTTGAGCAGACTACCAAAAACCAATACAAATCACGAACAGTAGCCCGTACGCCATCAAAAAACTTCACCACTGCGTCCCGCCCTTGCCCGCCGTATCCCGACAGATTGTGACATCAGATCTGAAAAGCCCAGTCGCCTGGGCCCGCCGCCGCTGCTAGACCACGCTGTGCGGCCCATAAAGAGCCCGCCCGCGGGGCGACCGGAAGCCATGACCCTCCGCGGAGGCGCCGAAGCGCAGCCCAGAACGGCACTCACCATCTTGTTATTGATCTCGTGGAAGTGGATCTCGCACACCTTGTCGACCACGTCCTCGTTCTCGAACGTGACGAAGCCGAAGCCTGCGACAGAGGGCCGGTGGTTAGCTGGGGACGGCCGCGGCGCGTCGCCATCGACGCGGGCCAAATCATCGGCGACAAATTCCTCCGCGCGGCCGATGGACCCGCGGCGTAAGGGCGGCCAGGCTGCGGGAAATCGACACTTAGGGAGCCATGTAAATCTTCTGGCCGCGACGTTATAACTATGATTCAGCGCGAGCGACGGCCGTCTCGGCGGGGCCGGCCATGCTCCGAGCCGAGTGGATTCGCCGCCCAGAGCACGGGTTTATTATCATTGCAGGCGACTGCCGCCGGCACATATGGATCCATTCCCAGCAGTGCTGCGGGGGATACGATTGTTCTGTGCAAATAGTTCAGAGAAATATCCCGTCCAGATTCGGGGCAAATTGACCGAGTGGGACGGCGAGCAGTCGGAATTAAATGATGACCGCGCGCGGTGGCCGACGGTGCTCCCCGCGCGCCACTAAAGGCCGCCGCCGAGGGCTCGTCGCCGCCGCCACGATGGCGCCCCTCCATCTCGAGGGCGTGCAAACAGATAAATAAGCGGCCGTCGCGACGACGCCTGGTGGGGCGGCCACGCGAGGTCGGCGCCCAGCGGCGCACAAGTCAGGGGTTTAGAAGGCGGCGGCACTGGCTGGCAGAGGGTGAGACGAACCAACCGGCAGAGGATGGGACAGACCGGCCGGCCGGCAGAGCGTGGGGCAAACAAGCCCGCAGAGGGTGGCACAAGCCGGCCCGCTGAGGGCGGCAACAGAGAGGACAGGCGGGAGAGAGAAAGAGAGAGGAGAAAGAGCAAGGCGCGTATTGATCTCAGTGCCGACGGGTCATCCGTCTGCCCATCCTGCCCGCCTGCTGACTAGGCACAACACGGCACTGACCAGTCCGGCCGGCGCCGGGAAAATAACCGGCCAGCGTTTACCGAGTGACCGGAGGCCGACCAAGCAACCCAATGGCGCCTGGACTGCGCTGTTCCCATCTACTTGCTAATGCGGCCGTGGACTACCATGCACAAGCTGCACAAACACGAAGCGGATGGCAGTAAACCATCCCGGTCCGGGCCGAGCATCTCGGCTGAGAACCGCGCCAGATCGCTAGAACTTTCCCGAAGTTCACGGCCAATGCAGCGCTTTCCGACGCTCGAGGAGTCGCACTTAATGTCTGTGAACCCGACCATTACATTGCCTGCAGGCGCCGCAGTCCATGCCTCTAGCAGCGCTCTTGACAGCTGATATCTATTCGTGTGCGAGACCAGGCGGGACCATCGGCTTCGGGGCAGGTGGGTGTGGAAGCGATAACACCCGGTTTGCTCGGGCAAGTCAACATTTCGTCATTTTCCCATCGAAAAACACCGGTCCCCACAGTATTGCCACAGGCCACCACCTCTCACGGAAATCCAGGCGAGTTGCTTACGGGGGGCCCTGTAATCATCTGGTGCGGACCTTTGACCATTTGGTGCTGACCGTGATCATCTGATGCGGACCTTTTGGCAAGGTTCATGTGCCCATCTGTGGTGATCCGTGTAGGTCTGATCAGAATCTGGCACACAGCTGTTTGTAGCGTTTGGTGTACCTGACAGGCATGGATGGTGGCTGACCCGACAGGCGCGGGTGGTGGCCGAGGTGTGAGACCGCCGTGCCGTCCCGACGCGATCCTGGCGCGGCCTGACGCCCGGCGCGGCGGCCGGGGCCGACAGGGCCAGATGACCGCGCCAATCGCGCGCGACAAGACGGGTGAAGCCCCATTACGAGCGGACGGGAGCGGGCCGATCGACCCCTCACGCGCCCACCCTCGCCGCGCCGCGCACCAGGCCGGTATCAATCAGGACCACCGCACGAGGAGATTTCCGGTGATCGGACGCGAGAGGGAGGCCGAGGGAGGCCGGGGGAGGGCCGAAGGAGGCCGGGGGAGGGCGCGGGGAGGGTCGCGCACCGCTGGCCGCCGCCATCATCGCACACACGCCCCGTCGGGAGTGCCACCGGAGGGACGCGCCGCCGCTGGCGCCGGCCGGCCGGCGGGAGGGCGAGGCAGGCGGCGGAGGAGCGGCCTGCCTGCCTGCCTGCCGGAGGACGGGCCCGGCGACGCCCGCTGCGGGGGCGCCGCTCACGGTCTGGGCCACGGACGCATCACGGGTGCTCTCCCCTGACGGTCCGCTCGTCCGCGCTGCACAGCGCCGCCGTGGCGGCCAACGCCCCACACGCGCCGCGCCATGACGCTAAGATCGACGCACGATGGGGTGGAAGTGGATGGATGCGCGACGCCGCACAGTTCACGGCAGGCACCACAATCACAGCGTGAAGCACGCTCTGCAGCGTTGACTGAGCACATTGCACTAAAATGTGTGACATTGCACTAAACACGTCATAGACGCGGGCGGACCCTTGCAGGCGGGCAGGTGCTTTGCATGACCCAGATGTCAGGTGGGGCAATGCGCTCCCGATGTCATGACCTTTGACACAACGAATATCCAGCCATTACTGGCACAATGTTTGTGAGCTCCGAAGGTCGTAAAAACCCCACGCCGACTTGTCGTTCCCACATAACATTCGTGGCCAGCATCGCTGACGTGAAGCGCACAGTGTGGGAAACGCTGGCAAAACTGGTCACGTATTCCACGTATTTCCGTACATGCCAATTCATTGTCATGCACTTGGCAAGCAATAGCTGGCAGACGCACTCGGCCAGTCGCGCAGAGTGCTGACCCGGCCCCCGGGTGGGGTCGTTACGCGTCGCTCGCGGACAGCGCGAGTTCATCGCAGCAACACCATGGGGAGAAACGCTGGTGACGCAGGGTCACTGGCGGATGCGAGTCGTCCCCTAAACCCTAGCATCGTGCTAGGGTTTAGGGCACGTGGATAAACTCTAGCATCGTGCTGCATCCCTCGCCGCCCCACTCCATACAACTGCCCGAAGCACGAGCTGGTCCAAACACCGACCATTGTCACTGACGAGTAGTGGTTGAACGCAGCAAAGACGTGGGATTGATCGAGTTGTAATTGAAGCAGCCCTGGACGCGAAACAGAGTGTTGCTCGCGCAGTGCTGCGTATTACCGTTGGATGGATGTGCTCTGCACCAAGCACAGGTTTATGTACAGACCAAACCAGACCCCAGCCATTTGTCCAAAAATAGAGCGACTCGTGTTTGCCACGTGTAATATGACCACTATGCTCCAGTCGTCCAAAACATACGAGGTCCCTTAAGCAGGGACTGGCGTCGTATTTGTTCATGTAGTACCGATAAATGCCACCAGGGCGGACGGGACAGCATCTCCTCCACGTCGAGCGGCGGGGTCGACGGCAAAAACAGACAATTAAATTATCACACCACACCTGGCACGCCGCGATGGCTCACCGAGCGCCGCTAACGACTCACGAACGACACGGCCGCTCGCCCCCGCACGTCCAGCGGCGGCCCCGGGCCCACCGGCAGCCGGGCCGCCGCCGGGGCATCACGTGACCGGCGGCGGCGGACTACCGATGAACCACCGCCGAACCGTCGCCGAGGCGTCACGTGACCAGCGGCGGACCACCTGCGGACCACTCCCAGACCACCGACGGACCACCGGCCGGGGGCGTCACGTGACCAGCGGCCGACCACCGACGGACCATTCCCAGACCACCGCCGGACCATCGACGAACCACCGCCGGGCGTCACGCGACCAGCGGCGGACCACTCCCAGACCACTGCTGGACTGCCGCCGGAGCGGCGCCGGAGCAGAACAGGACCGGCATGGAACAGCACCAGACCCTCACGGCACACAACCGCTGGACCAGCAGTGGACCAGCGCAGGAGCAGCCGCTGCCGCACCACCACCGCGTCCCAGCCGTGGCAGCGCCGGACCGCGGACAACACACGGCGAGAGGTCTCTCCAAGTCGGTCCGCGTGGAACTGCGCAGGCTCGAGACGCCCGGTCCCCGCCCGGCTGCACAAGACCATCGTGGTGCCACTGAGCCTCCGTGACTCCATCGGCCCCAGGATGGGGGCACTTGGGTACGGCCACCGCGCCGCTCCTCGCCTGCACGGGCAAGGCGGAACATCCGCCGCCGCGTGCTGCGCGCCTCGACGGCCGGCGAATGCCCCGAATGGCCGGAATGGACTGTTGACGATACGGAGCCACCCAATTGCTAACGAGTGACGGAGTACGAGGCGACGGCGGAATGGCGGAATGAATTCAGTTCGGCGGCCCGGCCGTGCCATGCTGTACACGGAATGCAAGCGGCCTGGTTTTTGCTCGGATGGCCTGGAGTTCACCCGAATTAGGTCGCAGATGGATGCATAGTGCGTCAGAAACGAGCGTCATTAAAACAGCAGTGCCATTCTGTTGGGTGTTGAAAAAGCAGGACCGAGACCATTTAAGTCGAGTCCAGCATGAAAAAGCTCAAAATGCGATCTTGTTAAAGATCTTTAGTTAATCAGGATTCAGGCGCTGAGCCCAACTCTCCGAGACGGTGCAAACGTTTGGCCAACGCTGTCGGGGCTTGCACGTGAGCTTGCAACAACTACGATAAAAAACTGTGTATGACGCTAGCTCCTGCAGCGATTTTCATCACCCCAGCCATATGGTGCATACCTCTCATCAAGTCGCGAAGAAAGATGCGCCATGATGAGAGGTCTGCAAATACAATTCCACGACGGGATATCAGTTCCGGGGAGGCGCCGTGCTAACCCACGATGGCGTCGTCCGCGTCCAATCAGTGGCTGACGCGTCCCATCAAGTCGTGAATGCGCCTCGTTTGTCGCGGCGGGGCCCACGGACCGCGGCGAGCCCGCAGAGCCATCCGTCTGGACGGGTCCTGTCCCGGCGGGGCCCACGGACCGCGCCGGGACCGCGGAGTTATCCGTCCGGACGGGTCCTGTCGCGGCGGGGCCAACGGACCGCGCCGGTCACCGGCGGTGCGTGTCACGCGCGACACAGCGGTCCCCGTCAGCTTATTTGTGCTCCAATCGGGTCCGCAGATCCGCCGGTGGCGTCAGGCGACGGGTCCTGGTGACACTCCACCGACGGGACCAGCGCGCTGCCCCAGGGACGCACGCGGCCGGCCGCAGCTTCGGCCGTCCGCCGCTAGATGGGTCTGCCGGCGGGTTCTCCGTCAGCGCCCACCGGATGGGGGTGGGAGGACGAGGAGCAGCCGGCGAGGCAGCGGGCGCCCGGGCGCGCGGCGTCGGAGCCCGGCGGCGTTCCGGCCGCGGCCGCGTCGCGCTCGTGACGCCGGGCGCAACCCGCGCCTCACGAGCGGCACTCCGATCACGCACGGCCGTCATCGACGTCGAGCGGCGCAGGCGCCGGCGAATCCAAACCGGCACGCGGTGTTTGCTGAGAAAATATCGAAGTGTGGGAGAGGGGCGTTGAACCAACGCGGCCTGTCCAGCGTCCGTCCGCCGTGCCCGCGGGCAAATGGGAGTGCTTGGAAACAAAAACAGTCGTGGAAAACTCGAAACAACAGGCCGACGGGCGTCGTGGTGTCGTACGACAGTTCGCTCTGGAATAATCCCGCTCATGCGCGGTCCGGAGACCAGAGATGTTAGGTATGTGTGTTCCGCCGTCGTGATGCAGTCATCTGCGCCGCGTTACAGCATACCAGCGCAGGAATGCCTTTAACGATCTTCGGAAAAATCTGGCGGACTTTCTGAATTCGGCGTGCGACTGTTGAACGCGCACTTGTGTCGGGGCGTTGTCAGTGACGTGCGTTAATCATGCCAATTAAGACTGTACGCGATGAGTTCATATTTCAAGTCCGCGGCAGGAGAACCGGTATTATTACAAGTAACAAAATATCAAAGGAGAAACTGTGTCCTGTGTAAATGGGGTCGCGGGTGGGCGCCAGGTGACCTGAGCAATCTGCGCACTTAACTACGTAACTAGCAGTTGGAAGGAACCAGAAGACGCTACGATGATGAATACATTTACGGGAGCATTGCAAGTATATCGGTTTCATGAAAGCTTCTCCATTAAACGACTTTGATGAACTGGTAATAACTTGCATCATCACAACGCAGGAATATTTCAACGGGAAGCCGGCCACGAAAAAATTAACAGCACGAAAAACATCAACCACAAACGAATACACAAACACACCGGGTAAACATACATGCCGAGAGACATGTTTTCTGCGGCCGTTTCTCCACATTGCTGCACGATTTTGCAGCCGAAGGAATTTCGTTCGCGGAAAGTTTGACTATTTTCTGCTACGGCTGGAGTACGGCGATTCCGACACATGGTTTAGACGCGATACAATATCGAGCTGGAAATGGACGGCTGAAAATTGAATGCCAACTCTCCTCCAAGGGAATGGTCTTTCAAACACCTATTCAAGTTTATCGCTTGAGTCCAGTCGGTATTAGATTCGGTCAAATTTAGATCGAACATCGCCAGGAATTGGAAGAGGCCGAGCTCATCCAAACTGCCATAAAGCAGCCCGCGATTGTAATCCTAGCTCTGCACCGGACCGGCGCACCCCCTTCCCCGCTCCTCGGACACGCCCCCCCCCCCCCCGCTCCGACTAAGCCCCGAAGCGCCAACTTCGGGACGGACGTTCCACGCCGGCCGCGCCGTCGCAGACTTCTGTCATGACAACAGGACGTCTGGCTTTAACGCCGCGCAACTTCAGGCGAGTTCATCTAATTAACGAGGTTTGCTCGAACAATGATGGCTAAATGGTCGCGCCGGTCGAAATTCCTCCGGTCAATGCGGCACCGTCGACAAATGCATTCTCAGAACGGCTGAGTGCAAGCAATCCTGAGAAGTGGTCAACGATTATTGAAACCCGTACGCAAGTGTGTTTGCCTCAAACCAGCACGTGGGTCTGCAAGCGGGGGAACCCCACCGTGACATATGCGCGGCTGCTGAGCAGTTTCCGTATTTCCGAACGAAAAAATGCTCCCGACCTTTTCGCGCAGTGCCAGTGAAATTAAACAACTTTCTACACAGCCAAATCAGTTCTTGTAAAATCAGACTGCTACAATTAAACTTGTGCTATCAAATAACGAACACAGGTCGCCGTAGTGGTACATGGTTTAGGCGTTCCGAGTGGCTTTGAAAATGAAGCCGTGCCAACTGTAGTAGGGATGAAAACAATCCCCGACTACCGGTCTTACCTCGATGTCTGTTGGTCTGCTTGTCAAACATGAGCATGGCATCCTCTATCTGAAAAAGCAAACAGGGATGTCAGTACAATTTATCACCACTGCGAACGACATGACCTAAGCAATATGATCACACAGAATCAGCTGGCCGGAATTTTATGTCTGCAGAATCTTTGATAGAACGGATCCACCGATGTACAGCAACCGATACGCAAACTATGCTTTGGTCAATGTACATGTACAATGTACATCAATGTACATCGGACGCATATCGTCGCCCCGGGCGGTGCCGCACGGCTCTGCGCTGGGCATCACTCGGTAACATCGTCCTCGCGCAGCACGTCCACGCAAATTCCGTCTCCCAGCGAGGCGGCTCGAAAGAGACGTCACTGCCAAGCGCAAATCTGTGTGCAGATCTTTCTGTCACGAGAGTGGCGTCGGCAAGCGGCCTTGCTTCCAAGCGCGACGTAGCGCTATGCGACGTCAGAAAGTCGTGCTTTCCCGCGTGGAGCAGATAAGCTCACCAAAAAGGAAGCCGGGAAATGAAAGGAAATTAAATATGGCGGCGGCACGGCCAGGGAGAAATCAAAGGTGCTGTGTCAAAGAGCTTGCAAAGCAGGCTGCGGGCGAGTGATACCAGGGTCCAGGGGAGGGTGGGGGAGGGCGGGGGAGGGCAGGGCTCACCCGGGAGGAGCAGCGCCTGGCACCGTCCTCGCCGATCAATGACTCCGAAGCCCCGCTACTTTAGCTGGCTTTGTCATGCAAAAAAAGCTCATCAAGAACCGAAATGGATACCCAATATGTCTATGTTAAGTGGGGGCTCTGCAAATTACGCGGCGACGAGCCTGTGGGACCCAGTTGGAGGCGAGAGGCATGACAATGGTGCGGCTTAATTTGGTCATATTTTGACAGAGCGTACCTTACCCCCACCGAATGGAAAACTGTGACGGGTTGATACGGCCTAGCCATTGTAAGCTTCTCGGGCTCCTATTGCATCCAATTGGCAAAGCACTACTCGAAGCGGAGAGACATTCAACCCTGAGAATTGACGAGCGAATATCTTGGGATCTGACAGCCGTTACCAAACGGCAACGTATGAGCCAGTGCTAGCCGACCTACCGTTGTATTTGCTCCGTGCAGAATAAACAATCAACACGGACATAATCCATCAACACCTGCGCCGCATACATCCGAAAAAGCCGAAGCCTCCTGCATAAAACAAGCCTGCTTTCAAGAGAACTAAGCGGGACTTCACCACTACATTGCACGGCTGTAGGCTTGTCCATTACACTGTGTACACCAACGACACTGGGGGCATGCTCAGTGAACATAAACATTTACTACTGACCGAATGAAAGGATCCAAGCGCGGAAATGGCGCGTAAATTTCGCCGCCAAGAGTAGTTCACCTCACTGAGCGGGGGGATGGCGGGGGGGGGGGGAGGTGCGCTGCTGTGGTGCCGCATGACGCCGCGGTTACCTCAAAAGCTGAGCCGAATCGTACGACATGCACGCGCCGACACTGAGCGTTGCCTGGTTTACGTGCACATACTACATTCATCTCTTCCTTGGACCTAGTTTAGTATCCTTTTCGGTCTCAACACGTCTGACAGCAATGAAAGGCTTTCGATTGACCCATTATTTCCTCAAACATGACATTGAGAAGTATGGTAGTTCCTACATTGAGCGTGAAATATGACGTCCTGTCGGGAGGAAAGCCATTAACCTCTCACGATTCATCGAGCTCAAATGCTTACGTCCATTTCGGCGAAGTTTTCACATACTGCACAATCCATCATGATAACAAGCAATTTGTATTCACTAAGTACGGCTTCCCAATAATCACGTAAAATTCAATAAGGACTCCGTCGATACATTATATATCGTTCATTCTCTGTTGGCGGGCACTAACCCCCGACGACGGCGGGATGGCGGGCCTCAAGCGCCGGCGACATACAAAACAGCGGACGCTTCGCGGCAATATGGCTGCTCGCAGCTGCCGCGCCCCGGCTTGCTTCATATGGACAGTCTGGCGTCCGACGCCCGGCTTCAAGTTGGCCCTATTGATTCTCGCCGCCGCGCGACGCGAGCACCTCCGCTGAAGGCGCCGACCGCCGCCCTACCCGTGCCACGGCAACGGCTCACGGAGCACGGGCGGCGAGCACCTCCGCTGAAGGCGCCGACCGCCGCCCTACCCGTGCCACGGCACCGGCTCACGGAGCACGGGCGGCGAGCACCTCCGCTGAAGGCGCCGACCGGCCGCCCTCCCCGTGCCACGGCACCGGCTCACGGAGCACGGGCGGCGAGCTGTGACAGGGCGGCTACCCGCCGACCGGCCGCCCTACCCGTGCCACGGCACCGGCTCACGGGGCACGGGCGGCGAGCTGCGACGGGGCGGCCACCCACCGCCCGAGCCGCCACGGCGGCGGGCGCAATGGGCGTTTTCCCGCCGCCCGGGCCGCCGCGCCGCCACAGAGCACGGGTGTCGAAGTTTGGCTGGCGTTTTCCCGCCGGTCGCGCCGCCGCTCTCCGCACCATCCCGGTCTCTTGACCCCATTAAAGCAGCAACGAACGACGTCGCCTCAACGCGGCTAACGACGCGAAAGCATCCGTCTTGGATTACACGGCGGGCCGAAATAAATGCCGGTGGCCGAATAAATACAGACTCGTGGCCGCGTGGTCAGCGCAGGTCGCGCTTTATGGCGCCCCAGCCCATGACGATGACCTGAATGACCCGCGGGGCGTGCGGGTCGGCCGGGTCATGAGCGTCGCCGGCGCCGGCCGGAGTCCGCCGCGGCCCGCACCAGACAAAGAGCGGCCAGCCCACGCGCCCGGAAAAACGGCGCCGAATGGGCACAGGGCCGGCCGGCGGTTCGCTTCGGCGGCGACCGAGCGGCGCCAGCGCAGCACCCGGGCGCGAGCCACGGCGACGGCCGGCGCTGCGCGGCCCGACGCACGGCGAGGCAAGGGACGGCAGAGCGGACAACAGGGCGCGTAGAAGAGGCGAATGTGAAGTGCGCCACGAACGCACCGTGAAGTGATGACTGATTGGTGGATGAGCTGGGTTCTCGGGTGCCGCGACTGCGTGACCGTGAAGTGTACGACGGAGTGACGAGAAATCGGACCGCGCCGGCAACGTCAGCTGAGAACCACAGGCGTGTCCCAGTTCTGCTCGGCTGCTCCAAGCGCGTCCCGGCCGGCGGTCCCCGGGAGAGGACCGCGGCTGAGCTGGAGGCGGTCCGTCCCGGGCCCCCTGAGCGGCACGACGGCGGCGAAAGGGGCTGCTGCGCTGACGATCGCCGCACCGCTCGGGCGGTGACGCCGGAGCGAGGCCCAGTGCAGAAGAGGCGGCGTCCGGGTCGGAGAGCGTCGCTCAAACCGCCCAGCGCCCGGTCATGAGGCCGACCGGCGACTCTGTGGCCGTTGGACGGGCCGCCACTTATCTCCGAGCAGGCGCAGGCCAGCGCTTTTTGTACGCAGCGAAAAAGAACGAGAGCGGACACGAGCAGAGGGGAAGCACTAGAGTGTCCAAACTCAAGAGGATCAAGCACTAGAGTGTTATCACTTGTCAAACGGATGATATGCCCCCACAACCGGAATGGATCAGAGTGCTGTAAGGGCGAAGTGCTATCGCTATATAGGCTATTTTTGGATCAAGTGCGTAGTTCGCCCATCAGTTAATGAAATGAAATAAAAAGGGCACGTGGGAATGAAACAATTAAAAACGAAACTGCACCCATGAGTGGTGGAGAGTTAACGAGTGGCCTCCCAGATCTCACGCACGGCAGGGGCGTGAAAGAAAGAGCTTGAAAAAGCATTTCCGACGCCAGTGACATCAGTCCTGGAGTCCTCATGAGTCTGAGCGCCCTAAAGAGCCGCACGTTCTGACGCGTCCCAACGGCCTTAACAGCGAGGGCGTCCTTAATGAGGACAAGGGGGTCCCCCAGTGAGGACAAGGCGTGTCCTTCGCGGAGGCAGGGCTGGGGCGGCGGTGGCGGCGGCGGGGGCCGCTCGATGGCCAATTACACGCGCTGCGCTTCCACGCGACTTCGCTCGGCCAGCGCGCAAGTGGAGCGTGCACTTGGGCTCACGCGCTCCACGCCTCCGGGGCGCCGAGCGTGCCGCGGCCAACACGCACTCCGCGGCCAAAACGGAGACGCGCAGCCCGCTCTCTGGAGAGAGCCCGGCGCGCCCGGCCATAACGGGTCAGCTGGTCGGACAAAGCAGCAGTGCTGCGTCTGGCGCACCTAGTCGTTGAAGGGCGTGACGAATAGGCCATGGGTCCTCGCGCCGATCTGCAGACGGCGAGGCACCAGGAGCTAGATTTGTACTCTGTCGGGCGCACCAGTGCTGCGACCAGACATGACTTCAATGCCCTCATGTTGCTTTTTCCCGGGAGCATCCAAGGACTTTAATTGTAAAAGCATTGATTTGTGTATGCAGGGTGGGAACCTTTACCACTGTAGTCGCGCATCGTCAGTAATCCATATATCACAACAGAGGCGTTAATAATAAAATAAGGGTGTGTTTTCGGCTGGACGGCAGCTGTCATTGATGCTAAAGCGCCGGTCTGTTCAGTTATCAAAACACCTGCCACCCTGAGCAAATAAAAGAAACCAACGTCTAATCACAAGACGGGCGCTGGTAGGTGTCAGCCAACGAAGGGCAAACAGGAAAAACTGCGACGATTTACGGCAAAAACCTGCCGTTACAAGTCTTACTCACCCGTCCGAACTGTTCGAAGTAGTTTTTGACGTCTTCGAGCGTGCTGGGTGCGGAGAGGCCGCCCACAAATATCTTCTTGGTTCGGGTGACCATCTGGAAGGAAGAGAGCACGGTGTCAGTCAGCGGTGCCAGTGTCAGTGTCACGGTGTCAGTCAGCCCGGTCCCGAGCACCGACCGCCAGCCAACGCGCGTCTGAGCGGCGGCCGGCGAACAGCATGTCCGCACGAGCGCCGGCAAAAACTCGGATGGCTGCGATTAGGGCGCCGTCGGGAAACTGCTGTCAAAACACCGGCCGTCCGGACAGGCGCCGACTGCTCTTACAAGACTCGGCGCGAGCAAAACACGCGCCGCATGAGCGGGGCGCGGCGCGGCAGGGCGCGGCGCGGCGGCGGCGGCGGCGCGTGGGTCACCGGAGCGTGCGTCCCGCCGGCGCAGGTCGCCGGGTCACGCGATAGGTCGCGGAGCGCGACGGAGCGGTGCACGGCAGGCCCGGCCGCCCGGAACGGCGGCCGCTTCAGCGCCGGTGCACCTGCCGCCGCGGCGCCGGCCGGCCGGCGCGCGGCCGTCTAGTGATGGCGTCCGGCGCCTGCGGTCGGGCTGCACGGCTCGGCCGTGGCGTCGGCGCTGGGGCGGAGTCGGGCGGGCGGTGTCGGTGGTGCAGGGCTCGGTGGGTGGTGTGGGCGAGCGGTCAGGTGGGACCCGGGCCCGGCGGGGCGGTGACAGGATTTGATGGGTGATGTCTGGTGGGGTGCATTGGGGTCAGAGAGATGCGCCGGTGCTTGATTAGTTAACCAGAGAGATGCACTTGGCACGCTTCATGTCATGCGTGGGACGTGACACAGCTGACTTCCCATTTCCATTCGTCGACCCCGACCGTGTAAATCGACGCCAATCGTTGCACGTGCCGTACACTAAAGCCCCCTCGATTCCAGACGCTTGCTTGCAAGGTCACCGTGAGTATTGAGCGGCTTTCTTAGAACTCATGCGTGGGCACATGCATTAAAAATTATCTTTATAAACTTAGAGCGTACGTGATCAAGCGCACGGCGTTGATATTGACCCATGTAGGTGATGCATGATACGTATGCTGTTTTATGTTGCCTATCACTGGTCGTATGGGTGCTACAGGTGAGCTCTTCAACGCGTTACTTCGTCTGTAACTAGGCTCAATCCGTTGAAGATCAATGCGATAAACAAAATAAAGAATCGTATTGCACCGGGGCTGTGCTGCGGTGACGTCACAGCCCAGCCAGGGGTCCGTCTCCAGAGGACAGCAGCGACCCGGCTGCGGCCGGGAGCGTTACTGAAAGGCAGCCGTCGCCGCCGCGCGCCTCACCTCAGCACGGTGAACAAAGCCACTCGGCACTCTCTCGAGAAGGCGGCGCGTCAGATCGAAATAAATCCGCGCGGCGTGCCAGCGCGGCCGGGCGTCACACGAGGCACGCGCCCCACAGCCGGGCCCCACCGGGCCGCGGCGCACTCCGCCCCGAGCCCCACGGCGACCGCCGCACGGCCAGCGCGGCCGGGCCTCACACGAGGCACGCGCCCCACAGCCAGGCCCCACCGGGCCGCGTCACACTCCGCCCCGAGGCCCACGGCGGCCGCCGGACGGCCAGGGCTCGACCGAGGCCCGCCAGAGACGGGGAGGCGCGGCCGGCGGCCAGACGAGCCCGCCGGCTCGGGCCCGCAGCTAATTGCCGTCTTTTTACGGGCGGCTCGTCGCAGCACGATCGGCTGGAACGAGCGGCGCCGCACTCAGCACGGCCGGCGCGCGCGAGCTGGCCACCGTCCGCATCGATTGAACGGCACGCGCCCCACCACGCTCCGAATCCCAAACAATCGCCAGTGGCGGGCGGCACCGCGGGCCGCCGCCGGCGGGGCCGCCGCGCGGCCAGAGCCGGCGCCCCGCAGAAGCGTCGGCTAATTCCAACGAGCTTATGAAAGAGCGCGGCCGCGGAGCGTAATCTTCATATATTATGACCCAGATGGGTCTTTATAGCGGGCCGTAACGGCCCACCGGAATTGGGCATTTAGTGTGAAACCGTGCAATTTTAGTCCGGCGGTAAAGTTTGAGCGACCGCACACAATCTGGTGTTATCAGACATAATGAAAGCCCGGCTTGGGTGCCGCGCGCTGCGAGCTGTTTACGCTGCGGAGGCCTCTGCAGCCGCCGCCACACCAGCCGACAATCGCCGCCGGCGCCCGTCCGAGCCCTTATGCACGGAGGCGACAAGAAACCTTGGGTGACCTTCAGCGGGCGGGGCGGGATGACACGCGGTACAGCGGCCTCCGCTGGGGCGACTCGCATGCAGAGCACCTGCCAGATCTGTCCGGCCCGATGACGCCGAGCGCGCCGCCGCTCATTGGCGGCGCCACCTTGCAATTTCCGCGGCGACGCCGGCGGCCGCGGCCGCCGCCGCACGTAGCGGCGGCGGGCGCGGCGGCCCGAGACGCGGCACGACCCGTCACGCCGCGTGCGGGCCAGGTGCCGGGTCACGCTCGGCGCCGGCGCCAGTCACGCCGCGCACGGCTGCTGTTCCACCGGCCGCCCGTCATTGTTCCGGCGCTGCCGCCCCGTGACCCGAGTGCGCCGCGGGTCGCTCGCGCCGCCCGCGCCACGCTGCAGTTCAGGAATGTCTGGGGTCGTGCGGCGCCGGGCTGACGGGCGTGGCCGGACGCTTCTCAGCTGTCACGCGTTTTCAACCTAGTAGCTCGCAACCAAAGCGATGATCAGCATGGCCGCTGACCGCGAGCCGGTGACGTCTCCCCTGACGGCGTGGCCGGTGACGTCTCCCCCGTCTCCCCGAGCCAGTGGCGTCTGCCCCGTCTCCCCAAGCCGGTGACGTCTCTCCTGACGGCGTGGCCGGTGACGTCTCCCCCGTCTCCCCGAGCCAGTGGCGTCTGCCCCGTCTCCCCAAGCCGGTGACGTCTCTCCTGACGGTGTGGCCGGTGACGTCTCCCCGTCTCCCCAAGCCGGTGACGTCTCTCCTGACGGCGTGGCCGGTGACGTCTCCCCGTCTCCCCGAGCCGGTGACGTCTCCCCGTCTCCCCGAGCCGGTGACGTCTCCCCGTCTCCCCGAGCCGGTGACGTCTCCCCGTCTCCCCGAGCCGGTGACGTCTCCCCGTCTCCCCGAGCCGGTGACGTCTCCCCGTCTCCCCGAGGCGGTGACGTCTCCCCGTCTCCCCGAGCCGGTGACGTCTCCCCGTCTCCCCGAGCCGGTGACGTCTCCCCGTCTCCCCGAGCCGGTGACGTCTCCCGTCTCCCCGAGCCGGTGACGTCTCCCCGTCTCCCCGAGCCGGTGACGTCTCCCCGTCTCCCCGAGCCGGTGACGTCTCCCCGTCTCCCCGAGCCGGTGACGTCTCCCCGTCTCCCCGAGCCGGTGACGTCCCCCCGTCTCCCCGAGCCGGTGACGTCTCCCCGTCTCCCCGAGCCGGTGACGTCTCCCCGTCTCCCCGAGCCGGTGACGTCTCCCCGTCTCCCCGAGCCGGTGACGTCTCCCCGTCTCCCCGAGCCGGTGACGTCTCCCCGTCTCCCCGGAGCCGGTGACGTCTCCCCGTCTCCCCGAGCCGGTGACGTCTCCCCGTCTCCCCGAGCCGGTGACGTCTCCCCGTCTCCCAGCTTTGGCGTCTCCCCGTCTCCCCGACCGGTGACGTCTCTCCCCGTCTCCCCGAGCCGGTTGACGTCCCCCCGTCTCCCCGAGCCGGTGACGTCTCCCCGTCTCCCCGAGCCGGTGACGTCTCCCCGTCTCCCCGAGCCGGTGACGTCTCCCGTCTCCCCGAGCCGGTGACGTCTCCCCGAGCCGGTGACGTCTCCCCCTTTCTCGGCGGCGCTCAGAGCTCCACCCTCTGTCGTTAAAAGCGCCTGTGCTCGCGTACACACGGACGTCGCATTCGACTTCCGATGGGCGGACGACACCCGGGCTGGACACACCGACACACCGCGTGACAGGGTCAGTCGCGCCCTCTCATGCGCCCGGTCAGCGTGACGCCGTGCTCAGACCGTCGGCAGACCCCCGCCTGATGGACCACGCAGAGCTCGGTCCGTCGTGCCCGTGCCTCGGCCGGCGCGCCGCCCTCCCAGCGCGTCGGCGCCGTCTCTGCGTCCGTTCCGCCGCCAACAGACATCGCGGCGGATGCGGAGCGGAGCTGCCGCCTCGCCCGGATTCCCAGACAGCCCCGCCCACGGCCGTCGCTTTTTGCGGCGTTTTCGCCCGGCGAGTCGACGCAAGCCCTTTAGCCCGTCTCCAGAGATCCTATCTGTGTCCGGGCCTCGTGAGTCTAAATGATGCGTCCGGAGCAGTGCGTTTACCAAAACAATGCCATTTCCAGCGGCCGAACGCCGCCGACTATGCATATCAACCACGCGGCGGGAGGGGAGGGGCCGCCCGTCCCTCGTGATCGCCCGCCAGAGGCGGAGGCAGCAAAACAGCGCCGCCCGGCCGGCCACACAAACACGGGCGGCCGAGCCGGCTGGGAACGCGCCGCAGATCCACCCCGGGCGCGGAGTGCAGCAGCGTGGAGGGCGCTCGGACGGACCTCTGACCCAGCAACGTGGAGGGTGCTCCAACGTCCCCCGACCCAGGAACGTGGAGGGTACTCGGACGGACCTCTGACCCAGCAACGTGGAGGGTACTCCAACGTCCCCCGCGCCAGGAACGTGGAGGGTGCTCCAACGTCCCCCGCCCCAGGAACGTGGAGGGTACTCCAACGTCCCCCGACCCAGGAACGTGGAGGGTACTCCAACGTCCCCCGTCCCAGGAACGTGGAGGGTGCTCCAACGTTCCCCGACCCAGGAACGTGGAGGGCGCTCGGACGGACCTCTGACCCAGCAACGTGGAGGGTATTCCAACGTCCCCCGACCCAGGAACGTGGAGGGCGCTCGGACGGACCTCTGACCCAGGAACGTGGAGGGTGCTCCAACGTCCCCCGACCCAGGAACGTGGAGGGTACTCCAACGTCCCCCGTCCCAGGAACGTGGAGGGCGCTCGGACGGACCTCTGACCCAGCAACGTGGAGGGTATTCCAACGTCCCCCGACCCAGGAACGTGGAGGGCGCTCGGACGGACCTCTGACCCAGGAACGTGGAGGGTGCT